TACAAAGCATGATTAGTAAGTTTGTAGATGACGCTAAAATAGGCACTATTGTGCACAATAAGGAACGTTAAGAATAATTACAGGAGGATCTAGATCAGCTGGGGGACTGGGCTGTGAAACAGCAAATAGAGTTTAATATAGATAAGTTTGAGATGTTGTGTTTTGGAAAGTCAAATCCAGGTAGGAATTTCATGATGAATGGTAGGGCCTTGGGGTGTGTAGTGGAACAGAGGGACCTTGTAGTTCAGGTTCACAGATCTCTGAAAGTGGAGTCACAGATAGACAGGGCTGTGAAGAAGGCTTTTTCACACACTGTCCTATACTCAATGCCCTGATTGATGGGGAAGTTGGGAAATCATGTTGGAGTTGTACAGGACGTTGGTGAGGCCGCACTTGGAGTATTGTGAGATAACAAGGTCTAGAGCTGGATGAACACAGCAGGCCAAACAGCATCAGAGGAGCAGGAAGGCTGACGTTTCGGGCCTAGACCCTTCTTCAGAAATGGGGGAGGGGATGGGGGTTCTGAAATAAATAGGGAGAGAGGGGGAGATGGATAGAAGATGGATGGAGGAGAAGATAGGTGGGGAGGAGAAGATAGGTGGAGAGGAGACAGACCGGTCAAAGAGGCGGGGATGGAGCCAGTAAAAGTGAGTGTAGGTAGGGAGGAGATAGGTCAGTTCAAGGGGACAGGATGAGGTTAGTAGGTAGGAGATGGTGGTGGGGCCTGATGTGGGAGGAAGGACAGGTTAGGGAGGCGGGGACGAGCTGGGCTGGTTTTGGGATGCAGTAGGGGGAGGGGAGATTTTGAAGCTTGTGAAGTCCACATTGATACCATCGGGCTGCAGGGTTGCCAAGCGGAATATGAGTTACTGTTCCTGCAACCTTCGTTGTGGCACTGCAGGAGGCCCAGGATGGACGTGTCGTCTGCGGAATGGGAGGGGGAGTTGAAATGGTTCACGACTGGGAGGTGTAGTTGTTTAGTGCGAACCGAGCGTAGGTGTTCTGCAAAGCGGTCCCCATGCCTCCGCTTGGTTTCCCTGATGTAGAGGAGGCCACAACGAGTATTGTGTTGAGTTTTGGTCACCTTGCTATAGGAAAGATGTTATTAAACTGGAAAGAATACAGAAGAAATTTACAAGGATGTTGCCAGGATGCAAGGGACTAAGTTATAGTGAGAGGTTGGACAAGCTAGGACTTTTTCTTTAGAGCGCAGGAGACTGAGGAGGGAATCTTAGAGAAGTGCATATAATTATGAGAGACATGGATAGGGTGAATGCACTCAGTCTTTTTCCCAGGGTTGGGGAATCAAGGACTAGAGAGCATCAGTTTAAGATAAGAGGGGAAAGAATAAATGGGATCTGAGAGGCAACTTTTTTTACATAGAAGGTCGTTTTCATATGGAATGAGCTGCCAGCAGAAGTGGCTAAGGCGGGTACATTAACAACATTTAAAAGGCATTTGGTCAAATACTTGGATAGGAAAGATTTAGAAGGATATGGGCCAAGTGCAGGGAAATGGGGTTAGTGTGGATGAACATTTTGGTCGGCATGGACCAGTTTGGGCAGAAGGGCCTGACTTTGTGCTGTCGGACTCTATGACTCTAGGTCAGACTTGCTTATTGTCTAAATGATTTGGGGAGGACTTTCCAGATGTTATTCTCTTTGACGTAGGTATTTTTTAACTGTTCCCAAGTGACAGGTTGCACTTGAACCGGAGGAGGTCCAACATCCTCACAGGGAGATTTGCTAGTGTTACCTGGAAGGGTTTAAACTAGTTTAGCAGGGGAATGGAACTCTGAATAAGAGAGGGGCCATCCAGAAGGCAGGGGAAAATACATAAACCATCAAGAACAAGTTTACTATTCAGGATAGCTGGGGGCACAGTAAAGGGAGGAATGGCCCTTCTGATAAAGGACGACATAAGAACAGTGCTGAGAGAGGATATTCTTAAGGGGTCGTCAAATGAGGCCATATGGTTAGAACTTAGAAACAAGAAGGGATGGTCACTCTGTTGGGACTGTATTATAGACCCCCAAATAACCAGCAGGTGCTAGAGGAGCTGATGTGTAGAGAGATTGCAGATACCAGTAAGAATAACAGAGTAGTATTGGTTGGAGATTTTAATTTCCCCTGTGTTGACTGGGCCATCCAGAGTGTAAAAGGCCCGGACGGGGTGGAATTTGTCAAATGTGTCTCAGAAAGTTTCCTAAATCATTATGTAGAGACTCTACTCGGGAGGGTGCAACACTGGACCTCCTCTTAGGAAACGAGGTTGGGCATGTAATTGAAGTGTCAGTCGGAGAGCACTTTGGGTCCAGTGACCATAACTCTCTGAGTTTTAACATGGTTATGGAAAAAGATAAGACAGGTCCACAGGTTAAGGTGCTAACCTGGAGCAGGGCCAATTTTGGTGCCATTGGGCAGGATCTAGCAGAGGTTGATTGGGTGAGTCTGTTTGAAGGAAAAGGAACAACTGGCAAATGGGAGGCTTTTAAAAGTGTGATATCAAGAGTCCAGGGACAGTGTGTCCCTGGTAGGGTGAAGGGAAAAGCTGGCAGGTTTAGGAATCCCTGGCTGACAAGGGATATTGAGGCTCTGGGTTTAAGCTATCGGGCTCAAGTGAATCCCTGGATGAGTATAAAAAGTGTAGAAGCACACTTAAAAGGGAAATCAAAAGTGCAAAAAGAGGGTATGAGATTGATCTGGCAGATAACGTTAATTAAGATAATCCCAAGAGGTTTTATAGCTATATTGAGAGTAAAAGGGTGGCTAGGGAGAGAATAGGTCCCCTTAAAGATTCAGCATGGCCATCTATGTGTGGAGCTACAAGAGATGGGGGAAATTTTTGATGAAATTTTCTCCTCAGGCCTGAGTTATAGGCAGAGGTTGGCCAGGTTAGGACTTTATTCCTTGGATTGTAGGAGAATGAGGGGTCACCGTATTGAGGTGTATTCAATCATGAGGGGCATTGATAGGATGAATGCATCTAGGTTTTTTCCCAAGGATGGGGAATTGAAAACTAGAGGGCATAGGTTTAAGGTGAGAGGGGATAGATTTAAGGAGGACCTGAGGGGCAACTTCTTCATGTAAAGAGTAGTGCATAAATTGAATGGGCTGTTGGTGAAAGTGGTTGAGGCAGATACAATAGCAACATTTAAAAAACATTTGGATAAGTACATGGATGAAAAGGGCTTAGAGGAATATGAACCAAATCCAGACGACTGGAGCTAGCAGAGTGGGCACCATGGTCAGCGTTGACCAGTTTGGGCCGAAGGGCCTGTTTACATGCTGTGTTACTCTATGACTCTACGATTACAGAACTCCAAGTGGGCTACGAGTGTCTGCTATTAATTATGAAAACTACTTCTACTTATTGGGTGTATTTAACATAACAAAAGATGAAATGCTTCAGAGAAACATTACAAAACAAAATTTTGCATTAGTCACATAAGCAGATTTTTGGGTAGATGGTCAGAAGCTTGGTTGAAAAGAGAAGTTTATAGGACATTTGGTTGTATGGGACAGGCTAGAGACACCAGTTCGTAATTTTCCAGTCAACCTTTTGTATATTTGTACCTGTAAGTGAGCATGACAATTGGTTCAATTGGTTGCTAAATGAAACTTCTGCATGCTTAATGGTGATTGCATCCTTTGAATAATCACAGTATGATATGTGTATCCTTGGGAGAAAGTTATTATTTTATTTACCCATTTGTTTGTTTGCCTGACTGTCATTCTCTCTCTCTGAGCTCCATCTCCATCTCCATCTACTTCTCCCTCCTCCGCACCCCATTTTCAGCATGTATGCCGACCTTTTCTGTGCTACAATCAGTTCTGAAGAAGGGCCACTGAACACAAAACATTAACTCTGCTTCCTCTCCACAAATGCTGCCACACTGTCTAGGTTTTTCCAGCAATTTCAGTTGTGTTTCTCATTTTCAGCATTGTGTTGTTACATGTTGCAAGTTCAGTCATGTAGCACCTGCACGACTCTGTAGCACATGTTCTGCTGTTGAAAGTCATTCTTGGACTATTCTCAATTTGGACATAGCTGCCATAATAGGATTTGAACTCCTGAGCACTGATTTTCTCCTTCAAACCATAGAATCCTACAGCGTGGGAGCAGTCTGCACTGACCCTTCGAAGAACATCTTGCCAGACCCACCCACCCACCCTCTCCCCGTAACACCCCATTTTCTATGGCTTAGACATCCCTGGACGATCTGGACAATTTAGCATGGCCAGTCCACGTACCCTGCACACCTTTGCACTTTGGGAGGAAACTGGAGCACCTGGGGGCAGAAGCAGGGAGAACATGCAAACCCAAGGCTGGAATTGAACCTGGATCCCTGGCGCTGTGAGGCAACAGTGCTAACTACTGAGCCACTGTGCTGCTGCTCCTTAGGGACCAGAATTATGGCACTTCATTCCTTGCTGTTAACATCAGAACTGACCCATTGACTGTCTTGATTTGTTTAATCTGTTCTTTCTCTATCCTTCTCATTGCTTCTGTCACAACATTGGGACTTTGAACTTGTTTGTACCCTTTTGCTTTCCATTTCACTTTTAATAAGCCAAGCTGAAGATTATTGCTTTTTACACTGCTGCCAATCAGGATTCATCTTCAAGTAGCATTAATGCTGATAATCTCACTTGGAATTTTAGTTGCACCTGCCATGTACTACAAGCACTTAGGCTTCCTTTAGATGGAGAGTATTTCCATTGGTTATGCATATAGATCGTGTACAGTGGATTTTTAAAGCCTGCATGGTTTTCATTGCTACTACAACTGAGTTGAAGTGTATTGACTAATAAAACTTGCTTCAAAGTTGTGCAGTTATATGCTTATTGTTGTCACCCACTTTCTTGGGGAAGTGGGAAACTCTTTCATAAGCTAGTCAAATGAAGTGATTATTTGTTCTAATAAATTCAGAGAAAACAAGAATTATGTTTCTTTCTCTTAAGGAACAACTATTTAAGTGCATGTAATTTATTTTGTAGAGATTACTCAGTTACGACTCCAGTGTGCACAACAGACTGCCCGAGAAGTAGAGATGGAAGTGAAAGAGTATGTCCGAAAGTTGGAGGAAATGGAGATGGACAAATTAGCTGCAGTGGACTCTGAAAGAAAGAAAATTGCTTGTCTGCAGGAAGAAATTGAATATCTGAAGAGAGATCATGCCATTGTAACAATGGAGCTTACCAAGCAGCTCAAGCAAATTAACCAGGTCAATTTTGGTTTCCATTCTTTATTTATTTCTCTTTATTTTAAGTAAAGGTGTAGTTTATTTCTGAGAAGTTCAAATTACGCATGCGTTTCAGTTATGCAGATATTCCATCAAGGAAAATAACCTTGAAAACTTTTGCATCTTATCCTTCTGTCTCTCGGATCTCCAGATTTGGTCAGCTTGAATAACACCACCGGGTTGTACCAGGTAATATTTTTCGTGCACCGACCTTATCTTGAGGTAAGTTTTCAATTATTTGCCTGGGAAGGCAGCAGTGAAATCCAAACACCAAGCAAGACACTTAAAACATAAAAATAATTTATTAAGTGTAAGTATAATAACTGAAAGCATGAAATCCATTCAAGAGGTTGTTGGGATTGATCTAAAGTTTGCTTGTGAAGAATTAGCTTATTTTAAAGATTGATAAGACCCTAAATAAAAAGTTATTTCCACATTGCTATAAAAATAGTGCAGAAGAGGCAATATAAACTAAATGGTACAATTTGAAAGAGGATAAACACATGAGGATTTTAATGGGTGAATTATTGAAGGTAATAGAGTAAGATTGTTGAGAAATAAAAGTAGAAAATGTTGGAACTACTGAGCAGATCAAGCAGCATATAGGAGGAACAGAGTTAACTTTTCAAGTTATGTTCTTTCATCAGAACTGAGAAAAGTTAGAAATCCAGTAGCTGGGTGAAACAAAGGGAGGGGAAGTTTAAAAACTCCAAAGAGAAGATCTGTGTGAGGGCATGGGCAGAAGACAATAAATGAGCTGCCAAAGGGCTAAACAGTAGAATAATCAATATCTGTCATCCAAATTAAAGATGAGAAAATCACAGAACCAAAACCTGCAAACAAAAGAAGAGGGAATGGGGGAAGCACACAGATATTTTGGTCCGAAATTGTTGGATTCATCGTTGAGCTCAGAAGGATGTGAAGTTCTTCATCAAACAATGAGGGGCTCTTCCTTGAGCTAGTATTGAGCTTCACAGGAGTAGACCAAGAATAGAGATGGCAGCATGACAGCAACCACCTGAGACTTGGAGTCACATTTGCAGACAATCTGAGATGTTTTGCAGAGTTGTCAATCTAATTTGGTCTCCCAATGTAAAGGAGATCACATTGTGAGCATTGATTGTTGTTATGATCAAGGCTGGTGGAATGCGCTGTCACTCTAGTCCCACTACTTCACAGGCCACAAGGTAAAGGAAAATACTTTTCCCATTTTCCAAAGTGGCCAATTTAAATACTATATCTGTATCAGGGTTTAAAGAACAAGATCAATCAATCAGGCTTATTAGTGAACACAATTATGTATTTACTATTAAACCGATACTTATTCAATGAAGAGACAATGATTGGTTAATATTCACAAGTCAGTAATATATAATTATGATGGGTTATTCTTGAAGACAAAAATATAAAGTGTTAGAGGTCCCAAAGTTTGATGTTCTGGCAAGTGGCAAAGATTCCTAGGGATAAACAATCTTGAGATGTTTCTTTAATTGCTGTTTTAGAAGGACAAAATCGCTTCAGCCTGAACTCACCAAGATGGCTTTCTTTTCGGAAGTATCAGTTGGGTAGAGTGTTCTGAGTAAACCTTCCTTGATTTCAGCTTGTTCTTAACAGGCGTCCCTCCACATTTAAAAAAAATCCTCTCCAAACTATAGGTTAAAATCTTAGGGAGGCTGGCTATGGTGGAAGGAGGGAAACTGTTCTCATTGGTGTAAGGGGCCTGAGGACTGCAAGTAGCTGGAATCTGAATGTACTGCCTGAGAGTGTAGTGGAGGCGGATTTAATAGTGGCTTTCAAAAGGAAGTTGGATAAGCATCTGGAGAGAATTTCAGGGCCACTGAGATCAGGTAATGAAAATACCTGAATTTCTGTTTTGGAGAGCCTGCACAGACTTGACAGGCTAAATGGTGACCTCCTGTGTTGTGCCTATTTTGTGGTTCGCATTAATGGTTTTACAGCTGTTTGTTAAGGCTGCGCATATTTGTTTCAATGACCAACCTTGCAAATGGGGACTTAATTTGGTATTTTCCTGTTGTGATTATTTTCAGGACAAAGCCCTGTTACTGGAAAAAGCTAGCCATAAACTTGAGGCCAGCAGAGAAGAACTTGAGGCCAAAATGCAGGAATGTGCAATGGAGAAAGAACGTGCATTGAAGATTTTAAGAGAGGAGCTACAAGCCAGCACTGAACAGAAAATATCAGCTTTACGCAAGGAGCTCAACAATGAATTTGAAGAAGAAAGGCGAGCAATGGGGGAGGAATTTAACCAGAGGAATGCAGAAATGAATCGGGCTCAAGAAGAACAGTGTGCCACAATCTCTGAACTTGATATACAGCTAAAGGAAGAAAAAAAACATCTGCAGCAAATTCAGGACGGTCTTACGAATGAACAGTTACCAGAAATTGTGGCAATACGCCAGAAAATCCAAGTGCAGTTTGATGCTGAACTTACCACGGCAAAGTCTCTGATGGCAGAGGAGTTTGAGAAATTCCAAGTCAATGTGCAGGCGCAATCAACTGTGAAACACCTAGAAGTACAGAACAGGTTAGTAATACGTAGACATGGCTTGGGAATGAAATATTGCCATGTATTGGAACAATTTTCCGGGATTTGGTACAAGTAATGCAAACAGAATAATAGCTATCTGGGGAGAAAAAGAGTTTTTGTTTTTGTGGATACTTTAATCCAATTCTTTCTGAACTCAAAATTCCCTACCTTTCAGTGCACTAATCCCTAATTTACCTTTGTCACCTGAGAAAATAAAATGAATGTATAAAATGATCCACAGCAGATTGTACAGAATACTCTTCTGAGTTGGATTCAGGATGCATTGTCAGTTCAGTGAATAATATGAAGCATGAAATATGCAATGAAAATAACCCATTTGTTCCCTCAAACCATCTATTCAGGATGCCATGTAAAAATGTATATTGGTTCTGTCTTCATCCTCACCAGTTTCTTCCTCTTATGCATAAATAAGGGCAGTAGACGTTTATGGTACAGAGAAATGAAATGTCTCCATGGCCACTGTGGTAATTAAGAGCATCATTGAAATTTCAAAGCATTATTCTGTTGGTTGTTCTTGAGACATTATGGAATATTTTTTTCTTGTTGCACACTGATATTCTGTTCCCAAGCCTGATTCTCTTTTTCCACTAGTTGCTTTTGCACCCAATGACCTGTGAATGATCTGAAAATGACCTGTGTTTCCGGGGGCCCGACATGATTGAGCCCATTGCCCTTTGCAAAATATCATCTGCACTTTGAAAAATAAAATCAGTCATAGGCAAGCCAGTCTATTCCTTCAGCAGATGATATAGAATCTTACTCACCTGGGGTTCTACGCAAGTCATTTACTGCCCAGAGGAATGTTTCTGTATGGCCCTTATTTCTTTTTCTCTTTTTCTATTTGTTCTTTTTCTTTTGCCATTGCCTTCTCTCCATCTGACCTCCAGAAGGTAATTCCAGCAGAAGTAAAAGTCTCAATATCACTTGTGAGTCTAAAATCATCTTTATTGAGATTCTGTGTTTCTTGGCAGAACTGTGTGGCGATGGAATTAAAAATTGAAACTCATTTAAATTATTGAAATGAATGCTTCACATCTTAATATTCTATGCATTAATTTTAGTTTTTATTTCCTTATAAACTTTTTAGGTTCATGGAAGATCACAAACAGATGATGGACAATTTTATGTCTGAACAGGAGACCCTTCTCCAGGAGCTGAAGAAAAGGCATGTGGAGGAGCTAGAAAGCCAAAGCAAACATCTGATATCATGCCATCAGAATCAATTAGCGGATTTGAAAATTAAGTTGCACACCAAGCATCAAGCTGAAATGGAGGCTGTGGAGAAAGAGAAGTTGGCTACTTTGGATGCCTTGAAATTGAAGCACTCGGCAGATCTGGAAGATGCAACATGTAAATACCAGACAGAGATTCAGAGATTGCAGGAGGCAGTGAAAACCTCTGAGGCAAATTTACAGACAATGAAGAGAGAGTATGCAGAGAAACTAGCTGGGGAAGTAAATCAGCTGAAAACTGACCATGAGGCTGAACTGAGTGATGCACAGGAGACAATCCGAAAGGAACTAGCTGCCATTCACCTGGAAAAAATGAGAGACATGGCAACAGAGCTCGAGGAGATCCACAAGGTTGCCAGATTTAGTTACAGTTGTGTTATGTTGGTTCCAGACCAGACAGAAAAGTGTGTTACCAAATTGTTCTGTATTCCAATTGTTAACTTATAATAAATATTTAGCCTCACTTAGAATGGAGAAAATTTTAGTAAACAATGCGTAATTTTCCTCTGTTTAATGTATACCTAGAAATAATGGATAAGAAAATATGTTAAAATAAGCCAGATGTGTGGAGGCCTAAGTTATTTCAGTTTGATCCTGTTCTTCCTTGAAAGCAAATATTAAATCCACATTTTCTTTCTCAAGTTTTCCAGTTAGATATTTCTGTCCCTAATTGTCATGGAATCACAGAAATCTATAACATTGAAGGAAGCTGTTCAGCCTGTCATGCCTGTGCAGGTTTTCATTCAAACATAGCTTTATATCCTGACAACAACTTACATTTATATAAAAGCAGAACATTTAGGAAATACTTAGCGGTTCTGCCAGCAACTTTGTAGAGAGAAGCAGAGATACTGTTTTAGGTCATGATCTTTCCAAGTGAAGCAACAAAAATTGGGATTGCTCGAGGACAGATGTAGATCAGCCTGAACCTGATTGATGTGAGTGCGGGGAGATTGAGAGAGCGGAGAAGCCATGAAAGATAACAATTTTAAAAACAAGATGTTTTATGACCATTTTTTGTCCATAGCCCTACGCATTCTTCATGATCTGTATCTATCCAATTGTTTTGGAGTTATGTGCGATCAACTTTTGCTGGTAGTATTCCAGGTCCTGACAATTCAGCAATTTTGTTTTCACAATTTTAAGTGGAAGCTGCTAATCTAATTCTGTACTGCAACTTTTCCTTCTTTTGATTCCTAAGGTCTCAAAATTTGTAATGCAACCATTGACTTAAAAAAAAAGACAAAAAGTATTTTTGTTTTATAAGAAAGAGACTGAATCAACTTTTGACTTTTGCTCACTTATTGGTGTATTTTGCAGGAAGATTTGGAGGCAGCTCTAGGCAACCAGAGGGCTTTACTGGAACAGGAGCATCAGAAGCGCCTTGATGTAATTCGAGATGAGGTACTTCACCTTGAAGATCAGCATCAGCAGGCACTCAAGGAGCTTCAAATGCTGCAGTCTACAGAGGCTGAGAAACAGAAAAAGGAGTATGCACGGAAGCTTAGTGAAGAGCTAACAAAGATTGAGATGCAAAATCAAAAAGAACAGGTTTGTGCTGCTTCAGGTTCTACAGGAACTGAACTTTCAACCACCGTTTTGGATCAAAGGATCCATCAATGTGAAAAGGGCAATCTAATCCATGATATTCCTGCTTCAGCAATATAGTGGGACTGGGAAAATTAATCAGCTATTTTTGACTGAAGAATGGCTGTTAGAGATTGAATCCAAAATTGAAATTCTGTTCTACTACCAGGTAGTTGGTGAGGTTAGAACTGGAGACAATTTTGAGGCACTTTGATACATTTAGTTACAAAGTAACATCTTTATAAGCATGCACCTTTGAACGCAGCAGCCACCATTTTAACCCATACCTATTTTTACATGAACTGTAGTGAATCCTCAGTTAATGCCCAATATCTGCATACAGTTAAAATAGCAACATTCATTGTCAGCAGTGGGCCGTTCACAATTGGGCATTTTCTCACTATCTAGTAATTTAATACTATAACTGTAGCCCATGATGTAAAGCCGCAAGTATTTCGTGAATGTTCTGCTTTTATTTGCAGCATTTGAATCTCCTTGACTGCCTACTGATGCTAATGTACGTGAACTGGATACTGCCCACTTGCTGGAGTCCTTGTGTGCATTTACCATAGCTACTGTATGGCAAACTCAAATGAAAGCCAATTATAAATCATGATATAGTTAATATACAGTAAATGTTCTGTATGGCAGGCAGTTCTGTGTATCTTAGTTTGCTTGGGAAGAGTGCCTTTAAAATTGCTTTTATTGGTAACAAAAATGTATGGCTTAATTCTGTGAACATTGAAAGGTCTAAGACAATACTGAGTGGGTGGTGGACATTTTTGAATTCAGATAAACAGTGTTATATAGGTTGCAGGAATGTTTGATAAAGAGATTATAAAATAAACTGGACTAATTTGATTTATTCAATGAACTGACTGTTCAAATGATGACTCATCATGAGTGCACAGAATCAAACTTTGAAGTTATTTTTCATCACAACTAGAAAGAGTTGGATGTAATAAATTTAAAGTAGCACAGAAGCAGGGAAAGGCAGAAAAAGTACAAAAGGGAAGGTTGCATCCCAAGCCAGTACAGTTACATTGCTGACCATCCAAATGGCATCAGTATACTTATCAACAGCAAATTGATGGAAGGCATTGTTGACATTAGTATCAAGTGTTACCTACTTGGAAGGAGAAGGGCAGAAGATGCATAGGTTCATCCCTACCTCCAAGCCACACAATAACCTAACTTGAAAGTATATCACCATTCCTCCATTGCAGGGTCAAAAACCCAGAACTCCGTACTTAAAAGTACTGTTGAGAGAATTTTCACCACGCAGACTGTAGTGATTCAGGAAAACAGCTTATTATCACCTTCTTGGGAATTTTAGGGTTGAGAAATAAATACTGGCCTGGGTATTAATTATTTTTTGAAAGAATTGTTATGCTGATTTTCGCTGTAGGTTTAGTTATTAAATGCCATTTGTCTGAAACTGGCCTGTATGAAAAATACTATCCTGAATAGATGTTTGACAGGCTATAATGCCTTACTTCTGAATTTTATGTCATGTGGCTAAAGATAATGTTTTGGAATTAACCCATGGAAGTGCAATTCAACTCGATAATAATACCTTCAAATAAGTAGCATCAAATTTCTGCATTATTTACAAACAAAGATAATTATTTTAAAATATGTCTTGACCATGATATCTTTGAATGAACTTAAATATTTGTCCGTGTAATTCTGAGATTTAGTTTTACTGCCTCATCAGTTCAGCGACCTACTGTACTCATTGCTTGTAATTTCGATTGCTAGGTTCATACAGCCAAGTCAGAAGCAGAAAAGGTGCGACAGACGCTGCAGTCCCAATTTGAAATTGAGAAATCACAGCAACTACAGCAGTTCCAGGAGGAGTTTGAGCTTCTCAAGAACCAGTCTGAGCTCTTACTTACTCAAGAAATTAAGCAGCTCAAGGTAATATTCACAAGAAATTGCAGGTTGTTTAACAAAGGAAGAGAATAAGGGGACAGGTGCAGGTAAACTGGTTTTTTTTTGTATTATATGTTGAATAATTTTTTTCCCCTCAACTTGTCTTTTTCTATTATATACAACCTAGATCTGAGAATGCACAGCAGTAGTGCATGCAAGACTATAGGGTATGAATGCACATCTTGCTCTCTAGATTTGTGACTATCTCTATTTCTTTGCGGAAGCTGAAGCAATGAGGCAGAGATTTAAATGTTAAGGTATTAGTTATCCTAGTTGAAAATGAGCTGCCAGTTAAAAAAGCAGTGTGCTTAAAAGTCTAATGAGGCATTGTACATATGGATCCAAAGCACTGCCATTTGGTGTTTATTGTCAATCTCAGCTAAGTGAAGGTGCTAAGAACTCAGCACCCACCAGCAGCCTGGGTAACAGCTGCAAGCGCCTGTGTCTTAACTATTTGGGTTCTGAAAACAACCTGGTACCTTTATCATATAACTAATAAAATAGAAAATGCTGGAGATGGTCAATAAGTCAGGCAGCATCTGTGAAGAGAAAAAGCATCGGAGCAGCATTAATTCTTTATTTCTTTATTTCTACAAATGTTGATTGACTTGCTATGTTGAGCTTTTTCTGGTTTAATCTCATATTTCCAGTTTCTGTATTCTGCCTTTGTTGGAGTTGTGCAGAAACTGTTGGTTTTTGCTTGTACAGATCTACATAATGTCAATGATAAAGAGATGAATAAGTTTATAAATATTAAGAAGCTGGTGTTGAAGGGGCTGCTACACATGTATAGAGAGACAAAGGACTGGTGCTAAAGGAAGGTGTTTGGATAGGAAGAATAAAGCTTTTGAACATGCCAGGTTGGGTTCTTTCAGCCCGGAATTCACAGAAATGCGCAGCGCAGACTCCTTTGGGGAACGTTCCTGGAGCTAAGTGGAGCCAGGGCAAGACAAGACCTACAGAACTAGCTGCTTTATGGTAAGTTTAAACATCCAGTTTGAATGGATGAGTCTTTAAGTGGGTACAAGATTGGTGAATGAGGTGGTTAGGTGGATCTCTGGATAATTGGTGAGATGAGTAAATGGGTAGAGGTTAGGATTGTTATAGGTTGGTAGTGGTTGGTAGCAGTTGGGGCAGTCCAGTCAAATTTATTCAGGGTGTTAGGTCAGGCCAGGAGGGCAGTCAGAAAGAGTAGTCAGGTTGGGTGGTCAGCAGGAGACAGGGAGTCGGGGATGGTCAGTTTTGTAGTTGTACAGATGTTGGACTGCGTTTTAGATTCATCTAATTTTCATGGGTAACTATCCAGGTAAGTACTGTGGAACTGTCTAAACTTTTCAACTGTAGTTCTTCCTTGTGAAGCATCCTGGGGACTAGAGTAATTGCTCAACAGAAATTGGAACTCCCTAGGCAATTCCCACGTATTCAGCACATCAGGAATTCCAGAGGATTGCATTGTCTATCTTCAGTTGTACTTCCAGTCCTGAATAATGTGGAGTCTAAAAGGTTTGATTTGATTTGATTTATTGTAGTCACGTGTGCCTAAGTACAGCAAAAAGCTTTGTTTTCCGAGCAGTACAGGCAGATTGTAGCAAACGAGGGCATACAGATCACAGTCGCTTAGACAGAATGAGGCATACAAGATTACGGCTGCATTTGGCCTTGTGTGTTTTCCGATTTTCTATTGAAGCGAACAAAGTAAAACTAGTATTAACTAAACATTATGTAGTGGGCACCTGAGCAATAAATTAAAGAAATTGGGTTTTCCCAATTAACAACTTAACTGAAAACCCATGCGTTGAATATAGATTGAGCCACATTCTCTGCAAAATTGTAGTCTTGTGATTAAAGTAGAGCATTAACAAAATCTCATCTCCCTGTGTCACCAAGGTGGATCTTCCACTGGACCTTTAAACAAAGTCCACTTCACTCAGTCCTTTGAACATAATCAAGTGGATTTTCAGTTGCAAGATACCTTCTGGTCTTTAAGTGTTCACAATCCTTGTTTCCTCAAACGGGGGTTCTGCTGTCACCATCCTCTGTTTTAGGGTTAACTATAGTACAATCTATTTCTTCTACCTGCATGGCATCACCTATATTGTGTCTTCTCAAAAACTCTTGGTTTGTCTGGCCTGTAAGCAACAAATTCAGCCGTCTTTTTTTTTTGTTTAGGTGTTAAGAAACTGCATTGAGTGTAGGAGTTGGGAGGTCATGTTGTGGTTGTACAGGACATTGGTTAGGCCACTTTTGGAATACTGCATGCAATTCTGGTCTCCCTGCTATGGGAAGGATGTTGTGAAACCTAAAAGAGTTCAGAAAAGGTTTATAAGGATGTTGCCAGAGTTGGAGGGTTTGAGCTGTAGGGAGAGGCTGAATAGGATGGGCCTATTTTCCATGAAGCATTGGACGCTGAGGGGTGACATTATAAAGGTTTATACAATCATGAGGGGCATCGATAGGGTGAATAGACAAGGTCTTTAAACCAACTGAGATCTTTCCCCAGGGTAGTGGAGTCGAAAATTAGAGGGCATAGGTTTAAGGTGAGAAGGGAAAGATTTAAACTGGACCTAAGGGGCAACTTCTCATGCAAAGGGTGGTGCATGTATGGAATAAGCTGCCAGAGGAAGTGGTGGAGACTAATACAATTAAAACATTTAAAAGACCTTTTGATGAGTACATGAATAGGAAGGGTTTAGAGGGATATGGGTCAAACACTGGCAAATGGGACTAGATTAATTTAGGATATCTGATCGGCATGGGCGAGTTGGACCAAAAGTTCTGTTTCCATGCTGTATAGTTGTATGACTATGACTCTAAATGTATCATTTTTTTGATAAGCTTCAACATGGGCTCCTTTCCCCTGGCCAATGGGTTATAGGGGCTTGACTCTGGGCAGCTTTCGTGTGAGGCCACATGACACTTTTCATTATTCAATTTTACCATGAATTAGAGGAGATAGTTTAAAACATAACTGTCTGAGAACATACAGCAGTGTTAACACTTGGTAATTGAGCCTATATATTCCATAACAAAGTATTTTTTATAACAAACTAACACCAGAAATACACATACCTGTATTACATATAAGCTAAAAAGGAAGTTTCTACTGGATGCAACACCTCAACTTTGTATAGAAATAGCTTAGAACAGAATTATGTGCAGTGCAAGTGGATTTGAAAATTCTGCAGTCTTCAGTGTATGCAAAATGTGATGATCAGAGAATGTTCCAGATACTATCTTGGACTGTCAGGTGCAGCAATTCAAAATCATAGTGGAAAGGAATTCATTTTCACTTCCCATTGTGTAAAAACAATCACTGCTCAATAAGTTGCAAGTGTTTATCTTTCCCTTAATGGTCTGACTTCATGGTACTTGATTGAATCTCTATGACTTGACCTTCTGTTCTCTATTTCTATTTGCATCCTCAGTTGTAAATGGTGTTTTTCAGTTACCAATTATTGATTTCGCTTTGATTTCTTTTTGTTGTGATGTTAATCAATGGGCTGAATTTTAACTTTCAGACTCACTTGCAGTAGTAGAAGATGGTGGCACACTGCGAATTGAAAAGTTTCCAAAATGTATTTTTGACTTTGTAATTAAGACTTTGCACTTGGCAGCTGGCATCTAGGTTTTCTGACCAGTTAAGGTGGGTAGACATGATGACAGCCAGCTGCAAGTTTTTTAATGCCTTTATTTAAAGGAAAGTGGAGTCGCAAGTAGACAGGGTGGTGAAGAAGGCGTTTAGCATACTTGCCTTCATTGGTCAGTGCATTGAGTATAGGAGTTGGGATGCCATATTGCGGCTGAACAGGACATTGGTGAGAATACTGTGCTCAATTTTGATCTCCCTGTATAGGAAACGTAAAAACATAGAAAGTAGGTGTAAGAGTAGGCCATTTGGCCCTTCTAGCCTGCACCACCATTCAATATGATCATGGCTGATCCTGCAGTTTCAGTATTCCGCTCCCGCTTTCTGTCCATACCCCTTGATCCCTTTAGCGTAAGGCCCACAGGCAGCTCCCTCTTGAATCTCTGTAATGAACTGGCCCCAGCAGCTTCCTGTGGGAGAGAACTCCACAGGTTCACAACTCCCTAGGTGAAGAAATTCTTCCTCATTTCAGTCCTGAATGGCTTACCCCGTATTCTTAGACTGTGACCCCCAGTTTTCCCCAACATTGGGAACATTCTTCCCACATGTAGCCTGTCCAGTCTCATCAGGATTTTAATGTTTCTATGAGATCCCATCCTCGTTCTTCTGAATTCCAGTGAGTACAAGCCCAGCCGATCCGGTCTTTCTTCATATGTCAGTCCTGCCATCCCAGGAATCAGTCTGGTGATCCTTCACTGGACTACCTTAAAAGCAAGAATGTCTTTCCTCAGACTAGGAGACCAAAACGGCACACAATACTCAAGGTGCAGGCTCAAAGGTCCTGTATAATTGTAGCAAAACATCCCTGCTCCTCTACTCAGATTCTTCTGCTATGAAGGCCAGCATACCATTAGTTTTCCTCATTGCCTGCTGCACCTACATGCCAACCTTCAGTGACTGTTCCATCATGACACCCAGGTCTTGTTGCACCTCAACTTTTTCCTAAACTGATACCATTCAGATAATCTACTTTCCTCTAATCCGCAATATATTGCATTTGCCAAGTATTTGCCCACTCAACTAGCCTGTCCAAGTCACCCTGCAGCCTCTTAGCATCCTCCTCACAGCACAGACTTTTAGCAGCATCAAGAAACAAGGGAGAAAAATGAAATCAAGAAAAAGGCACCTGATTGCGTCCCATTCACCACCTTAAGCATCCACTCCCTGAATACTGATGTTCAATAGCAGCAGTGTGTAGCATTAATAAGATTCATCACAATGTACTAAACTCGCCAAAGAAGTACCATCCAAACTCATTTAATCTACTACTTAGAAGGACAAAGGCTGCGGATACATGGGAACACCATAACCTGCAAGTACCCCTTCAAACCACTCACCATCTCGACTTCATTATAGTTGGTTCACAATCATGGAACTTGCTTCTTAACAGTACTATAAGTGTGCTTAACCCTCCATAAACGGTAGCAGTTGAAGAAGGTGGCTTACCACCACCTTCTCCAGAGCAATTTGGATTGGGTAAAAAGATGCAGGCTGATCCAACAGTGCCCACAGCCCACGAATGCACTGAAAATTCACTAGAATGATAGCAGGAATGAGAGATTCTAATGAATATTAAGTTTGGTAAGTGTTTTGAAAATAAAACAAAAACAATGGTGTGGAAACTAAGAGTTTTGAAAAAAGTCTATTTTAATTTGGTAAATAGTGATTTTTCACTGGGTAGCGAATGGATAAAACAAGCATATACTTAATTCCTTACAAGAAAAATGAACAGGAACGTTAAAATTATTTTATGATGAGTGTTATGAAAAGGACACTTTGCCAAGATGGCAATTGAAATTGTAAGAGGTGATTGAGTAGTTGAGTGGGGCAAATGTAGGATTTGAGGAAATTGGGAAGGAAGTTGCATCAGATCCACACGGTTTCAGTTAAGCTCCAACAGGCATATGCTCAAGTGGCGACCACCGGTAGTGTAAATTTTATGAAACTTGAGGTTTACTTCAATTTTTTTTGTATCATTGTTGATTGTATCATATTTTCTTCATTCATATCTTTCACTTACCAGTAGGATTTACCCACGTTATCAATGGGGTAAGTTATAAAAGTGGCACCCCCTTGCTGTGATTTGTGTTATTGACCTTTTGGTGTGACCCAGTCCTCTAAGACTTTAATGTGTGGAGTTATAGTTCAAATACTAGAATAGCATCAGCGAATGATCCTGCACCCAATGTCAGACTGTTTAGTTCATTCTAAATCCTGTGCAGTATGCAAGTAAAAGTTCACTAAGATAGGTTGCATAACTGATATTGATATTGACCTTGGATGAACAGAAATATGAAGTAGGATTGAGATGCATTGGGTTTGCTTGATAAGATTTTGCAATTCCTTTTGGCAAAGTGGGTTTATCTCAGCAGCTTGTAGAAAATTCTTGTACAGAGATGTTGTTAATTCAGCCAGAACACCAGACCTCATTCCATGTCAATTTTAACATCTTGTAGGGCCTAGGCAAGCTTTTCAAATAATGAAATGGGTATGAGACCAATGGTCACAATACCTATTGTTTACTTCTGTAGGTAACAAAAACCTCAATTTGATCATGAGTCTACGTTTTCTGTTACATCACAGTGCAGTACATTGTCTTGAAGATTTATATTGTCTTGGTTATGAAATAACCAGTACATTTCCCTGAATAATACTTCCTGTGTAGGATGAGTTTGAAGCTGAGAAGAGCAAGGCACTGCAGGAACTAAGAGATATCTTTACCCAGGAACAAGACAAAACAAAACAACTATACCATGAAGATAAGGAACTGTTGGCTGGAAAGCTCCAGCAGCACACAGAGCTAACCAAAAAGGTAAGGTTGTGGGAAATTTCTCATATGCAAAGTACGTGGACTTGTTGGGCTGAAGGGCCTATTCCCACACTGTAGGGATCCTATGATAAAGTATTTGAACAATGGTTCCTTATTCTACTCAAAATATCTTGTGAATTATATCTTGTTAATTGCCTTTTGATTAATTTATGCAATTAGTATAAAGATGGGTTTATATAAAAGTAGAATTACTTCAAATTTGAACCTTCTGTGTCCTTGAAAGGTACAACAGTTGAATTAACATTTCAGGTTGATGACTTTTTCACGGAAGAGGTATTACAGATAAACAGCTTATGAGAAAAAAAGACTTGACTTTAATGCAACGGATTTCAAAACATCAGAACATCCTAAAGCTCTGTATTGCTTATTAAATTATTTTATGAGGTATCTTTTATAGGAAATGGGCAGCCAACTTGCACATATGCTCCGTGCAACAGTGTCATAGAGAATCTGTTCTGAGTGTGTTAAGGGATACTTATTGGCCTTAAAACTCTGGTTTGAACATACAACAATACAGCACAGGAACAAGCCCTTGAGCCCACAATGTTGGGCTGAACATGATGCCAAATTAAATTAATCCCTTCTGCCTGCCCTTGGTTCATATCCCTTCATTCCTTTCATATTCATGTGCTTATCTAAAAGTCCCTTAAACTCCCCTATGTATCTGTCTCCAACACTACCCTAGGCAGTGCGTTCCAGACTACTACCACTCTCTGTGTAAATAAAACTTGCCCCTCCCATCTTCTTTGTTGGTTTGGTCCTAACTAAAGTATTTCATTGAGTTCTGATTGGCATCCTTTAGGAAATACATGAGGTAATGCAGAGGAGATTTACCAGAATGGTTATAGGGATGGGCACAGGTTAGATTGGAATATCTGGGTTTGTTGTCCTTGGAGCAAAGGAGATTGATGGGAGATTTAAGATAGGTGAACAAAATTATGACCAGGTTAGATTGAGGTAGATGGGGAAACCGCTTCCCATTAGCTGTGCTGATAGGATTAAGGTCATAAATTTAAGTTTTTGAACAAGAGATGAGGGGGAGTTGGTGGAAAAACTTCTTTTCGCTGAGAGTGGTGATGATCTTGAAATCTCTACCAACCAGGGTGATGGAGGTGAAAATAATCAAGGATTTCTAAATAAAATGGGTGGGCGCTTGAAGGATACAAATTTGCAGGGATGATCAGCATCTAATGTTGAACAGTGTGTAAGTTTTGTAAGCATGAACTGGTCTGGTAGAATGATACCTTGCTTATTGAAAACAGCCAAAGGTATGTTATCTGTCAATCTTTGGGACGAATGGCCTTCATAGCTGGAGTCACACCGGCACTGATGAACATGAGTCTGCGAAGGATTACGTTGACAATCAATTTGGAATTGTCACTTGGGCTTGCGGTGTGGCACACTTGTGTGTGCTGGAAGCTGTACATATTGATACACAGAACCCTATCCTTTACAGACAGACAGAGCACACACACACACTGAGCTTGTTTCAACTCAAGAAAATGGGTGACTGCTATTCTGCAGTCAGTTACTTGAGGAAATAGCTTGATCAATCGGAGTCAACAGGCCTGGCTTAAAATTTAAAGAAATTCTGGGAGTTAACTGTCAATGATCATTAACTGGTGGCTTCTCCATGGCAACACCTACCAATCAAGAGTCCATTGCCAACCAGTCAGTATGGACTTCTCATTCAGTGCAAAAAATGTTGATTTTCTCCTTACATTGGTATGTATTTTAGCCATACTCAGGTTCTGTATTGTCATTAAACATGTTGTATTTCCATTCGGAATAGTTAGTGTAAGCCTATTGTAAGCCTTCCCTTGGCAAATGAATTTAATTAGTTGCCATGGGTCTCAAGGTTTGGAAGAAAGGTAAAACTATTTTAACAAAGAACTGCTGATACTGAAAATCTGGAACACAAACAAAGTGCTTAAGTAACTCCGCGGTCTGGCATCGTCTGTAGATGGAGGAGCAGAGATAATGGACAGCTGGGGAAGGGTGATTTTTATGCTATAATTGGAGTAGAGAAATTAAGAGTACATGGAAACAGTGGCAAGAGAGAGAGAAAAAAAGAGTTAGGCAAACAAAGATTGCTGATGATATGCTGAGAGAGATAATTGATGGAGGGTACTAACAAGAAGTGTAAATGATTAAATAATTGCTGCCCATAGACAACAGGACCGGAGTTTCAGGGAAGGTATCGAACACGGAGAGGGTATTCACTTTCTGATAAATTCAATGTCAAATCCTGAAGGCTGTAAGGAATCTAAGTGGAAGATGAGGTGTTGTTATTCCAGCTTGTGTTGAGAGCCTTGCTGGAGTACTGCAACAGGCCTGAGACAGAAATGTTGGTGTAGATATAATGATATGCTGAAGTGACAGGCAACTGTCATTTTTACAGGCAGACCGTACATGTTCTCGAAAGTAGTTGCTCAGTCTGTGCTCATCTCCATAATATAGAGACCGCATTGTGAGCAGCAGGTGTAGTAGATTAGATGGAACGAACTTCAGATAAGTTGCTACTTCACCTGGAAGTTTGTCTCGGGCCTTGGATCATGAGGAGGAAAAAGATAAATGAGCAAGTGTTGCACCTTCTGAGAATGCATAGGAAAGTGTTATGGGGTGTGGAGAAGTGTTGGGAGTGGTTGACGAGGGGAGCAGGATGACCTAGAGGGAAAGGTCCCTGCAGAATGCTGACTGGGGAATATGTGTCTGGTGGTGGCATCCTGTTGGAGGCGACAGAAATGGCAACTTATGATCCTTTGGATGAGAGGTGGAAAGTGAGGACTAGGGAACCTATCGCTATTGTGTGAAGGGAGGAAAGGACTGAGGGCAGAAGTGCAGGAAGTTAGTCAGATGCACCGAGAGCTCTGTCAGCCGTGGTAGCGGTGAACCCTCAGTTGGAAAAAAATTTCCGAGGCCCCCGCGGAAGGTGGCATCATGAGAAATGCGACGGAGGGAAAGAACCTGGGGGGATGGAATGAAGTCCTTGCAGGAAGCAGGGAATGAGGATGTAGAGTCAAGTTAACTGGGAATCAGTTGGTTGGAACTATAGTACTGTCCCTTCACTGGCACTGGATTAGGATCCTAGAACTCCCTCCTAAATAGCACTGAGGGTGTACCAATGCCATGTGGATTATAGCAGTTCAAGAAGCAGCTCACAAACACAAGTAGAGCATTCTAACAGCTGGATACTGGGAACTGGGCCACAGTATGATGCATGAATGTGATGCATTACTAATGCTAAGAATTGTGAATGAGACAAACTAGATCATTGGTTAGAGTTAGAACAGATTTCACAAAGGCCACAGCACATTAGAAAAGGCCAATGGACCTCGAGGGCAGTTAGGGATGGGCAGTAAATTCTGGCTATGTCCTTTGATTTTTCTTTTTATAAAAGACTTTTTTTTAAATCAAGACTCTTTGCAATCGGCAAGTCTGAACATCTAATTCAGGTACGCATTGCTTTATTGGCATATCTATCATTACACCAGTTGGTGTACCACAAGGATCTGTTCTGGGTCCTCTTCTATTTGTGATTTTTGTAAATGATTTGGATGAAGGAGTGGAAGGGTGGATTAGTAAGTTTGCAGACAATACGAAGGTGGGTCACGTTGTGGACAGTGCGGAGGGCTGCTCTAGGTTACAACGGGACATTGATAGGATGCAGAGCTGGGCTGAGAAGTGGCAGATGGAGTTTAACCCTGAAAAGTGTGAGGTGATTCATTTTGGAAGGAAAAAATTGAAAGCAGAATAGAGGGTTAACGGAAAGATTCTTGTCAGTGTGGAAGAGCGGAGGGATCTCGGGGTTCATGTCCACAGTTCCCTGAAAGCTGCCACACAGGTGGATAGAGTTGTTAAGAAGGTGTATGATGTGTTAGCTTTCATTAATAGAGGGATCGAGTTCAAGAGCCGTGAAGTTATGCTCCAGCTATACAAAAGCCTGGTTCGGCCACATCTGGAGTATTGTGTCCAGTTCTGGTCACCTCATTACAAGAAAGATGTGGAAGCGTTGGAAAAGGTGCAGAGGAGATTTACCAGGATGTTGCCTGGAATGGAGGGAAGGTCTTACGAGGAAAGGTTGAGAGAGCTAGGGCTTTTCTCTTTAGAACGACGAAGGATGAGAGGTGACTTGATAGAGGTGTACAAAATGATCAGAGGTATAGATAGAGTGGACAGCTAGAGACTTTTTCCTAGGGTGGAGGTAGCTATTACGAGGGGGCATAGTTTTAAAGTGAGTGGAGGTAGATACAGGGGAGACGTCAGAGATAGGTTCTTTACTGAGAGAGTGGTCGGGGCGTGGAATGCATTGCCAGAGAGGGTAGTGGAGTCGGCCTCATTGGGGACATTTAAGCCGCTATTAGATAGGCATATGGATGATAGTATAAGGTAGGGGTGGAAGTTAGATATACCTTAGGATTAGGGTAAAAGTTTGGCACAATATCGTGGGCCGAAGGGCCTGTACTGTGCTGTACTGTTCTATGTTCTATGTTCTACTATTAATTCCAATTTGAGTTGTGTCTCTATCCTATATACTTTCCCTCACCAATCTTTCTAATTTCCAATAGTGTGTCTACCTATCTTTTTTAACCAGTTTTTCATTCTCTCCAAGAATTCAGACCTGTTGTGCCTTTGCACCTAAAAATATATTTTTCAATGGACATACGTCTCACCTCTCCGACTTTCACCTTCAAAACAAATGGGTATTATGCATTTGTATGCAGCATTGGACTTTATTGAAAGAGAGAGTTACATCTTAAGAGGAAAGTCAATGTTTAGAGAGCAATACAGTAGTAGCTTAAAAGTCAGTGGTTCATTGACAACAAGGTGCAGGGCTGGATGAACACAGCAGGCCAAGCAGCATCATAGGAGCAGAGAGGCTGACGTTTCGGGCCTAGACCCTTCATCAGAAAAGGGGGAGGGGAAGGGGGTTTTGAAATAAATAGGGAGAGAGTGGGAGGTGGATAGAAGAGGGATAGAAGAGGGATAGAGGAGAGGATAGGTGGAGAGGAAACAAACAGGTCGAAGAGGCGGGGATGGAGCCAGTAAAGGTGAGTGTAGGTAGGGAGTTAGGAAGGGGATAGGTCAGTCCAGGGAGGACGGACAGGTCAAGGGGGCGGGATGAGGTTGGTCGGTAGGAGATGGAGGTGCGGCTTGAGGTGGGAGGAAGAACAGGTTAGGGAGGCAGGGACGAGCTGGACTGGTTTTGGGATGCGGTAGGGGGAGGGGAGATTTTGAAACTTGTGAAATCCACATTGATACCATTGGGCTGCAGGGTTCCCAAGCGGAATATGAGTTGCTGTTCCTGCAACCTTCGGGTGGCATCGTTGTGGCACTGCAGGAGGCCCAGGATGGACATGTCGTCTGAGGAATGGGAGGGGGAGTTGAAATGGTTCACGACTGGGAGGTGCAGTTGTTTATTGCGAACCGAGCGTAAGTGTTCTGCAAAGCGGTCCCCGAGTCTCCGCTTGGTTTCCCCGATGTAGAGGAAGCCACACCGGGTACAGCGGATGCAGTATACCACATTGGCAGATGTGCAGGTGAACATCTGCTTGATGTGGAAAGTCTTCTTGGGGCCTGGGATGGGGGTGAGGGAGGAGGTATGGGGGCAGGTGTAGCACTTCCTGTGGTTCATTGGTCTGTTCTAATGCACTGTGGCTTTTGTGAACTCTGTTCTAACTCCAGTGATCATCTAGTTTGTCTCATTGACAACTCTCAGCATTACTAATGCATCACATTCATGGACCATGCTGTGGCCCAGTTCCCAGCGTCCAGCTACTGGAATGCTCTTGTGTAAACGTCATCACATACATAAAGGAGTTGAAACAAATAAGGATTGGATAAAGGCACATTGATAAATTAACTCAATATGAATCTGATCCAGTTTTGTAGATCAATTCATTCACACTTAAATAGTGTAATGTTGAGTTGAGAGAAGTGACTTTTAATCACTTTTATTCTAAATGATAAGTTGATTTCATTTGGCTGTATACCATCCCTGTACAATACAGTCCAAAAGCTGCCTTCAAAACTAATTTATAAAATGCAGTACTAATTTATTCAACCATATCTTTGTAATTTATTCAGAAGTCACATAACGCCAGGTTATAGTTGAACAGGTTTATTTAGAATCTCTCAAGCTTTTGGAGCGTAGCCCCTTTGCCAAGTGCAGTGAGTGACAAAGGGGCTGCACTGTGAAAGCTGGTGCGATTTCAGATAAGTCTGTTGGACTGTAACCTGGTGTTGTGTGACTTCTGACTTTGTCCACCCCAGTCCAATACAGGCACCTCCACATCTTTGAAATTTATTGTTGAATCTTTGTTTCCTCTTTGTTTTTTCACTGAGAGTTCATTAAATCATATGAAGAAAAGTTTGAAGGCAGCACAATCTCCATATTTTTAATCAACCTCTTCATGAGAGATATTATTGCTCAACACTGGAGCAAGTGGGACTTGAATCCAGGTCTTCTGGTTCAGAGGTAGAGACACTACTGCTATGACATAAAAGCCCCCAGCACAATCTATCCAGTGCATGGAATGCTAATTCATTGCATCACTATGCAGATCTCCTTGGGTATTCACCACTTCTTTAACCAACAGTAAATAAGAATTCCCCAAATCCCTGCACTTCTGTTTCTTGTTTGCAGTATTTTGTGGATGGATTTAGAGCTTGGCTCACTCAGCTAAATCCTGAATGCTCAATAGTCAAGTCAATCTAATAAGTTTCAATTTAAATTGCAATAATATAGTGTAATTTGTTGTGCTGATCAAAAATCAAATGTTGTGTTCCTACCTCCATTTATTACCCATATAAACACATTTTGAGAGGCTGATTTGTTGCTGTTTTATAGAGGAAGTACAAAGATTTTGATCCAGACTGACAGTTTTATAATATCAAGACACAGTTGTGTTTTAGTTTACAGTTACGTGTGGTTTCTGCCATGACAACAGTAGTGTAAACAGTTAGTTAACCAATGCTTTTGGTCCTGACTGAAACAAATTTCATGAGAAGCTGTGCTATAAATGATGGTGTCAGCAAACGTAGAAAAGTTTTCTTGTAAGAATTTGCAACATTTAATGAAGTTCAATCTTTATACTTGAAGAACCAGACCCATTGGGAAATAAAAACGTTTTGAGCCTTGGGACCAGTGCATTTCCAGATAATCTCCACATACAGCTAAACCTGCTGCTGTCACTAACTGGTATGTGAGGTGGGCACATCAGTTGAAGAATGTGAAAGAATTATAATTTTTGCAAGAATAAAAACTTTGTTATGAATTGATAACTGAAATTGTTTAGAACACCAACGGAAGAGACAAAGGTTTTATGGGTCTGGAATGGTTGTGTTTCCTTATAACACTGCCCAACTTCCTTATGGTTGTTACAGCTGCTTATGTTATGAAGCTAATAACTTCTGACAATGACTGGCTTCTTATCTTTAGCTTCACTGTTGCCTTTTCCTCAGCTGCAGAAAGAGCTGCAGGACAAGAACGCTGAACTGGAGACACTACTACAGCGTCGAGACCGAGAAAATGAAGAAGGAGGCAATCTGGTTGCCATGCTGCGCTCAGACCTTGAACGATTGACATCTGAACGGTCAGTGAGTTGGGGATGCAATAGGTGTGGGCTGGTGGTGACGGTGAGAGAAAGATGAGCTAAAATAAAAATTGGATCGGAAAGATAAGATAGTTACACTTTGAGTTAAAGATCAAGTATTTAGGAGACAGATATGCAAGCATTCGGACTCAACGTTTGTCAGCTACTTACTGATGAGCTGCTAACGACCTCTGAATGAAATGGTCCAATATCGCAAACTAATATATTGATTTAAAATTAGTATTATTTCTCTATGATAAACATCATTAGCACTGGGAGTTGTGAGTTTCTTGAAACAATGTTACAACTTGTGATTTAACATTGATGCCCATGACCCATCCTTCCTTCCCTCTCTACAAGACCCTAAGACATAGGAACAGAAATTAAGCCGTTCAGCCAATCGAATCTGTTCCGCCATTCAATCATGGCAAATAAGTTTATCAACCCCATTCTCCCGCTTTCTCCCAGTAACCCTTGATCCCCTTGACAATCAAGAACCTATCCATCTTCATCTTAAATATACTCAATGACCTGGCCTCCCCACAGCCTTCTGCGGCAGTGACTTCCATAGATTTAGCACTCTCTGGCTGAAGAAGTTTCTCCTTATCTCCATTCTAAAAGGTCTTCTCTTTACTCTAAAGCTGTCCCCTCGGGTCCTAGTCTCTCCTACAAATGGAAACATCTTCTCAACATCCACTCTGTCCAGGCCATTAAGTATTCTGTAAGTTTCAATTAGATCCCCCCCTCATCCTTCTAAACTCCATCGAGTATAGACCAAGAGTCCTCAAACGTTCCTCATATATTAAGCTTTTCATTCCTGGGACCATTCTCATGAACCTGCTGTGAACCCGCTCCAGGGTTAGTACATCTTTCCTGAGATATGGGGCCTAAAAACCACACTCCTTCCTGTTCAAGTTGTTCTTTGGATGTTTAAGTGCCAAAAGACATAGAGGCAAGAGTAGGCCATTCAACCCACGAAGCCTGCTCCACATTCAATGAGATCATGGTTGATTAGATATTTCTCAATTCCACTTTCCTGCCTTTTCCATATAAGGCTTAATTCCCTTACTGATTAAAAATCTGTCTTTCCCAACTTTGAATATATTTAATGACCCATCCCTCCACGATAAAGAATTCCACAGTCTCACTACCCTCAGAGAGAAGAAATTCGTCCTGATCTCGCTCCTAAATGGGAAACCAAATATGTTTTAGTTTTGGTCCCTGGATTTAAGATATTGTCAAAAAACACACAATAAAGAAAATTCTAATTTCTGTCATTCACGTAGTAGGATCTTGTGTTAATCGTAAAACTGTAATTGAAGAACTAAGATCACAAAAGCCCAGGCAAGTAATTTGCTTATAAGGGAAATGTTAGCAAAACCTTTTGTTTACCCTAATGAGTACAAGATTTATATGAAATTTAAAACAATTGTAATAATTAATACTGCAGGAGAGAGAGAGTACTGATTGGTTAGTGAGTTGTTGCTGGCTGAGATATTGCCATGATAGATTGATGGGTTCCCTAGTCTCCTGGGCAATTAAAGAAGGCACAAGGCCTGAACATATTTCCTTTAATTTGCAGCAAATAGATCCTTGACCATGAACAAATATTGCTGCTAGCAAGTGCGCATGAGTCGTGTTCCAAGCTCCATTAATTACCTTAAATTGGTCATGAATATAGCTATATCCTGAATTGTTCAGCAAGGGCTGACCAGTCGTCAATGATTGCTGATTGTGTCAAACAGCATGCTCCCTCAAGTTGTGCAGAATATAGATTGTACACGACCAAATGGGCTGGTGAAACCTAAAATAAAATACTACCTACTGTTAAATGTGATTCCACAGAATTGGACAGAATCCCTTCTATGCCTTTTGGTAAATAATAAATAGATTGAGGTGACAGGATTGGGGTTAGCTCTGTTACACAGTTCTGAGTCTAATATGAACTGCTATCCACTCAGTCACTCAAGCCTGGAACATTTAATTTGTTTAGTGTGGAGTAATTATGACAATTAATGTTGATTTAACTTTCGGTGAAGTGTTCCATGAGACAAACAAAACAGATCACTAGATCAATTTATTGGTGTGGGTACGTTATTAGTTTGAATAACTAATTTGTGCTTCTTTCCCCCATTCAGAAAAAACTTGGAGCATTCCCATGAGCAATTGCTGAAGCTCTTTGCAGAAGTGGTGAGAGTGATATTTGCTTCAGAAGATATGATCAGTAGGCAAATAGGGCTCTTCCTGGATGGAAGCAAGCTAGATCATGGAGGAATGGTGAGCAAATCAGCTCTAGAAGCTGGAGGTCAACCTCCATGGATGAAAGCTAAACCCCTGCTGGAACATGACAAAGGTATGCTCAAGCTATAATTGTAAATACAATTCTAGTTACTTATTTCATATTTCCTTCCCCCAAAAATATACTGCTTCAGTAGCTGAAAGAGAAGCCAAGCAAACTTCACTTCTTGATGACTTCTTTGGCCCTTGAGCCAAATTACTAAGTTCTTGCACTGGAGCTGGTGTTTTGCAAGCAGTTTTCTAGTGTAAAAATTAATGTAAGGTCCAAGAAAAACAAAGGGTCATAATTGTACCAAAATCAAGTTGAGATTATTATGTAGCACTAAATTGAAATTCATTTTGGGTAGAACTTTAGCTGGCTGGTTAATGTGACTTTGCAGAGTTTGTTCAGAGTTCAAATCTACACTCAAGTTTCATAAATGCTTGTAGTTATTGGCGACTCGCTAACTGTTCCGATGAATTGACCTCTTTGTCAGGAGGACCTAAAAGAATTTTGGGGATATTTTAGCTATGTATAATTTTCTAACCTGGAGAATAATTTCATCCATTCAGTATGAATAATTTACAAGCTTTGGATCTGTAAGCAAGTCCTATTGAGATGACTGATCTATTTGGTTTATACCTATGCACAAAATTTTCATACTGTCCCTAATAAATAGTGCTTCTCTGCTATTTGTTTTTAGTGAAGCTCTGAACTAGACCACCGGCAGTTTTTCTTAAGGCATGTGTGTCAACTTGTTGTGAACTATCAATGTCTAACGTATCTCAAGTCTTTAAAGTTTGTATAGTTTATAAATAATTTTAACCCAAATAATCATTTACTTAGGATACTTTTATAAATAGACCAATATTAAGTCTTTTTCTGATCAAATAGCTGGAACCTTTCCACCAACTATTTTACTCTTTGTTTAAAAGGTGATTTGAGCATAAGTCAGGAAAGTGTTACCATCACCGAAGACAACAGCTTCTGGTCAGCACTGACCGATGAAAGGCTGGAACTTTCCCAGTGGCTATCAGAAAGTATGTTCACTGGGCCTGACATGGGGCCTGAAAATGAGGAGCTGATACTGAGCACTTGCGTCCGATTGCAAGTTGCTGTAGGCAAGTTACTGGAGTTAATCACTGAGTCAACAAGACAAGTAAGTATTGTTTAAAGAACAGAGTAAACTAAGAGTGCTAGAAGGGGCAGCAGTCAGTTCAGAAGTGCCCTGTGGCTATCCTCCTCTCTAATAAGCACGCTGTTTTGGATGCTGTTGGGGTTGGTGTTCGGGGATTGTCACCAACCAGGGGACGGCAACAGCAGCAGCCCGAGCAGTGGCACCACCGTTGTACACCTCCTGTACAGCAGGGAGGGTCATCCATACAGAGTGCAAGCCAGTCATTTGGCCCATCAAGTCTACACTGACCTTCCGGCAGCATCCCACCCAGACTTTAGTTGGGCCACATTTGGAATATTGCATACAGTTCTGGTAGTCACACCACGAGAAGGATATGGATGCTTTGGAGAGGGCACCCAAAAAGGTTTACCTGGATGTTGCCTGGTTTGGAGGGTATTAGCTATTGAGGAGAAATTGGACTCTGCTTGTTTCCACTTAAATATTGAAGGTTGGGTGCGACCTGATAGAAGTTTATAAATAATAGGCATGGATGGAATGGATAGTTGGAGTCTTTTTCCAAGGATAGACATGTCAATTACTAGGAGACATAGGTTTAAGGTAAGGCAAGTTTTATTTTTACACAGAGGGTGGTAAAAGCGCACGTGCTGCCAGAGGAGGTGGTGGAGGCGGATGCAGTAGCTGAATTTAAGAGGCATCTTGACAGGCAGTAGAGGGACGCAGACTGCATAGAGGCAAAGGTTTTTAGGTTAGAAAAGTATCATGTGTTGATGCAGGGTTGGTGGGCAGAAGGGCCTGTTCTTGTGCTGTACTGTTCTTAATTTTTTTTTGTCCTTTGGAGTTTTTGCTTAGTTCTGTTTCTTTCATATTGTCCCTCTGCTACGTTGATTTAATGGGGTCACTCTGTGGATGAGATATTGAGATTTTGGTTTTCTCTCAAAGCACAATTAAAGAAACGTTGTTTTGTGCAGATCTAGATTCATTTAGGTTGTTGTCATGTTTGAAATGATATAACTGGCAAGGAAATCGCACTTTTTTTCCCCTGAATTCCAGGAAATGCTTGTACCTTGACCAGTTTAGTAATAGATATAAACCCAACTCTCTTTCACATCTATAATGTCATGGAATGCAATGGCCATCAGTGATGTGGCCTCAATTATTTATAATCTCTTAACAGTGACATGGATGGATGAACCAAATCTAGTTAAATTTGCTGATGTCACAAAGATAGGTGGAGAATAACTTGTGAAGTGGACATAACCTATCTAAGTTTCTTTGTCGACAGTTTAAGTAGTTAGGCAAACATAAGGCAGCTCAGATATAATGTGGGTGAATTTATTGATTTCATCAGGAAGAATAGAAAAACAGTATAATGGAGTCATAGACGTCTGCAGCATAGGTAAAGTCTCTTCAGCTTGTTAAGTCTGTGCTAGTCACAAGCATGCATCTAACTATTTTAATCCTATTTTCCAGCACTTGGCCCACAGCCTTGTGTATCAGAGTCATACAGCACAGAAACAGACCCTTCGGTCCAACCAATCCATGCCGAACATAGTCTCAAACTAAACTAGTCCCACCCGCCTGCCCCTGGCCCATACCCCTCAAAACCATTCTTATTCATGTATCCATTCAAATGTTGTTTAAACGTTGTACTTGTACCTGCATCCACCACTTCCTCAAAGTTCATTCCACACACGAATCACTGTCTGTGTAACAAATTTGCCTCATGTTTTTTTAAAATCCCTCTCCTCTCACCTTACAAATGTGCGCCCTAGTCTTGAAATTCTCCATCTTAGGGAATAGACAATTATCATCAACTCCATCCATACCTCTCATTATTTTATAACCTACTATCAGGTCATCTCAGAACCGCCTTTCCACCAGTGGAAGAAAGTCCCAGCCTATCCAGCCTTTCTTTATAACTGGAACCCTCCATACCTGGCAACATCCTGGGAAATCTCTCCTAAACCCTCTTCAGCTTGACAATATCCTCCCTATTACTGGGCAACCAGAACTATTCCAGAAGAGGCCTCACCAAGGTCCTGTACAACCTCAACATGACTTCCCAACTCCTATACTGAAAGGACTGAGCAGTGAAGGCAAGCATGCCAAACGCCTGTTTAATCAACCTGTCTATACATGATGCAAACTTTAAAGAATTGTGTACCTTCACCCCTAGTGTTCTACAACACTACCCAAGGCCCGACCATTAATTGTATAAGCCCTACCCTTGTTTGTTGTACCAATATGCAATGCCTCAAGTTTGAACTTGAAGGTTGAACTCCATCTGCCATTTTTCAGACCATTGAGCCATTTGATCAAGATGCCTTTGTAACATTAGAAAACCTTCTTCACTGTCTACTCTGCCAATTTTGGTGTCATCCATAAGCTTACTAACCATGCCTTCTATATTCTCATCCAAATCATTTATATAAATGACAAACAAAAGAGGATCCAGCTCCCTGTAGAGTACCTCTGGTGACAGACCTCCAGTCCGAAAAGCAACCCTCCACCATTACTTTCTGTCTCCTGCCATTGAACCAATTATGTATCCAATTGGCAAGCTCACCCTGTGATCTAACTTTATTAATTAGCCTACCATGTGGAACCTTGACAAAGGCTTTACTAAAATCCAAATAAACAACATCTACTGCTCTGCCATCATCAATCTTTTTGGTAACTTCTTCAAAAAACTCAATCAAGTTTGTGAGACATGATTTTCCTCACAAAACCATGCTGACTACACCTAATCAATTTTTGCCTCTCTAAATGCCCATAAATCCTATCTTTTATAATCACCTCCAACAATTTTCCCACAATCTAAGTCAGACTCTCGGGTCTATAGTTCCCTGGTTTTGGCATCAAAACACTTAGTTAATGTTATGAGGTTTTCTGCCTCTAAAATCCCGATGGACAATGTGTTCCAGATTTGTTCCATTATCTGAGTGAAAATATTTTTCCTCACGGTTATGGACCGGACCAGACCAGACCTCCTCAAGTTATTTGGGAAGGTAGCCTAGTTCCTAACTTTTTCTTAGATTAAAGGCAAATGTAAATGGCGGCATGGTGGCCCAGCACTGCTGCCTCACAGCATCAGGGATCTGGGTTCAATTACACCCTCGGGCGAATGTCTGTGTGGAGTTTGCACATTTGCCCCATGTCTGCGTGGTTTTCCTCTGGGTGCTCCGAGACTAGAACAGCACACATCCCAGGATTTTTTTTAATGGATTTCAGTTTGTTTATAAGTTGATAAGCAGAAACATCGAGCCGAGGGGTCTCATTTATATTTTAGACCTATTTGGTTTCCTCAAGAAAAACGATGAAACTTTGCAGTGATTTTTGATAGAGCTAATGAATGAACAAGCAAAACTAATCTCTCTTTATTCACTTTCTCCTTGACCATTTAATCATGACTCTATTGTGATTTGTATTCTTTCTAATTATTAAGCTACACCTGAAGCATTGGTGGTACATCTTTTGATCTTTCGTGTGCCCAGTTTCACAGTGGGCAGTACTTTTTGTTAATTCATAGATTTAAATCTGGCTGGTAGAAGTTTGCTGGTTATTGAACTACAGAGATCATCATTTACCAATTAATATATATGCATGTATGAGTGTATATGTATCAAGTAGCCCTTAAAATATTCTCATGATAAAAAGTAAACTTTATTTGAGAGTTTTTTCAATGGAGGACAAAATTGAAGCAGGAGGGGGCTAATCAGTTTTCAGATTGAGAAAGGAAATTGATAGGATGCTGCAGGAAAGCACTTTATGAAAAATCATAATATGATGATTGATTAAAGTGCTGAGTGCTTTTAAAAAAAAAAGTGCATCATGCCCACAACATGTTGCAAATGCTGTGACTGTTAATGCAAGTACACAGGGATACTAGCCTATGATGCTGCTTGGCCTGCTGTGTTCATCCAGCCCTGCACCTTGTTGTCTCGGATTCTCCAGCATCTGCAGTTCCTACTGTCAGGGATACTAGAATGTTGTTCTAGCAGCCCGTACAATTTGACGGATTCATCAACTTGAAAGGCTTCTGCCTTGCTTTGATATGATCCTTCTGTTTCTGCCTAGCTGGCACAGAGCCATGGAATCAGTGAACATTTGGAGAAAGAATTCAGCCGCAAAACCCAAGAGACCGTGGAGCTGGTTGGCAAAGAACATCAAAAGTTGTTGGAAAACCTCAACGACGAATCTGAAGCAAAGAGGGAGCTGGAATTGGAGCTCCACAAAGCCAAGGGTAAAAATGTCAATTTGGAATACGTTGTGCAGGAAGAGTGATCAAATGGATAGTCATTAAAAGCGCGAAACCATAGTCACAGATCACAGAGACCATTCAAACCATAGTGCCTGCACCAGCTGTCCAATGAGCATCATGACTTGGTACCCTTCCCTGCACATTGTTTCTGTTTAAATAATCATCTAATGCCCCTTGAAAGCATCAATTGAACCTGCCTCCACCACACTTCCAAGTCATGCATTCCAGACCCAAATCACTCAATGTGTCAAAATGCTTTTTGTTTTCCTCATTTTGTATTTACTTATTTTGAAATCACCTTAAATCTGTGCCCTCTCTATCCAAACTCATTATGATTTTTAAAACTTCATCCAAATCTCCTCAACTTTTTCTTCTCCAAGGAAAACAATCCAGCCCCCTCCAATCTATCTTCATTAACTAAAATTTCCCATCCCTGGAATCATTCTCACAACCCCCTTCTGCATTTGCTCCAATGCATTCACATCTTTCCTGATGTGTGACGCCTAGAACTCTTGAGGAAGAAAAGTCATACTGGACTCGATGTTAACTCTGACTCTGTCTCCACCAATATTGCCTGACTTGTTGAGCTTGTCTAATACTTTGTTTATATTTCATTAGCCATTACTCTGTTTCCTATTACTCAGCCAGTTTAGTATCCAAGATGCTATTGTCCTCTTTATTTTTTGAGCTCTAATTTTTCTCACATGCCTGCTGTGTGATGCTATTTCGAACAAGTTTTACAAGTCCACATACACCACGTTAACAGCATTGCCCTCATCAACCCTCTCTTGTTTCAATGGAGGACAAAATTGAAATGGGAGGGGGCTAATCAGTTTTCAAATTGGGAAAGGAAATTGATAGGATCCTGCAGGAAAGCACTTCATGAAAAATCATAATATGATGATGGATTAAAGAGCTCAGTGCTTTTAAAAAAGTGCATCGTGCCCCACAACATGCTGCAAATGCTGTGAATGTTAATGCAAGTACTCCAGGGATACTAGAATGTCGTTCTAGCAGACCATACAATTTGACGGATTCATCAACTTGAAAAACTTCTGCCTTGCTTTGATATGATCATTCTGTTCAAAAGCTCTTCAAAAAGCTCCAGTGAATTAGTTCGGTACAATTTTCCCTTTAGAAATCAAAACTGATTTCCCTAGTTATCCCACATTTGTCCGTGTGACTGCTAATTCTATCCTGAATTATTGTTTCTAGAAGTTTCCACACTAACGAAGTAAAACTGACTGACTACTCTGTAATTGCTGAGTTTGTCCTTGCTGTTTTTTGTGAACGAGGGTACAGTGTTTGCAATTCTCTTGTCCTCACGCACCAACTCTGAAGCCAAGGGAGACTGAATGTTTATGTCAGCGTTTTGCGATTTCAACATTCACTCCCATGGATGCATCTCACCTGGGCTTGGTGCCTTGCATCAACAATGTATCCAATACCACCACCTTATCTATTACAAGTACTTCTTGTGTCTGGGTTTTCTCCTCTGTTGCTTTCAGACAACATCCTTGGTAAAGAGATGCAAGATACTCATTTAATACTTCAAGCTGTGCCATCTGCCTCTATATGCAAATCTATTTTTTGGTCCCTAATCAACCTTATTCCTCCTTTTATCACCCTTTTCCTCTTTTTGTGCATGTAGAAGAGTTTGGAATTCCCTTTTGTATTAGCTGCCAGTCTTTTTTTCATAATCTTTCTTTACTTTTCATATTTTCTTTTGCAACTTCTTTCTGTATTCATCGTGGTTCTCAGTTATATTTACTGCCTGACACTCATCATAAGTATACTTTAATTTCTATCTCCTTTGTCATCCGGGGAGTTTTAGATTTGTTTGTCTTACCTTTTCCTTTCAAGGGAATATATCTTGAATGCACTTGAACTGCCTCTAGTCTGAACAGAACCCATTCTTCAGCTGCAGATTTTCCCACTACCCTTTGATCCTAGTCTATCCAACCTGGCTCTGTTCTTGCCCCATTGAAGTCCACACTCTACCAGTTGATCGCTATTACCCTAGATTTCCCTTTTCCACCATCATCCCAAACCTTATGATTACTGTGCATAAATGTTGCCTCACTAACACTAGATATACTTGACTTGCCTCATTCCCAAGTACCAGGTCTAGCAGTGCCTCCTTTCATGTTGGACTGTACACATACTACAGTAGGAAATCCCCCTGCACACTATTTAGGAACACTTTCCTGTCTCTGCCCTTAACAATACCACTATCCCAGTCAATATTCGATTTTTAAAGTTCACCATTGTAACTACTCTGAAATGTTTGCACCTCTCTAATTTTCTTAGACTTGCTCTTCTATGTCCATTCCACAGGTTGGTGGTCTGTACAATACACTGAGTAATGTAATTGCACCACTCTTGTTCTTTAGCTGTAACCAAACTGAATCTGTCCTTGGCCCCTCTGATCATTTTCTCTGTCCAGCACTACAAAGCTCTCCTTAAACAAGACCACTGCCTTTTCTTTCTTTCTTAACTTACGTTGTAACAAGGATTTTAGACATTCAGTCAAGCTCTTTCTTGAGCCAGGTCTCTCTTTCGCTACAACATAATTCCACATGGCTGTCAACTCCGAATGACCAGTCTTATTTGCTATATCCTGAGCCCTTGCACACATGCAGTGTAATCCTGATTGAGAATGTTTTAATTTTTCACTTTCTTTTAATTGACTTACAGTTAAGTAGTATTTTCTATTCTAGTGCTAGGTGTCTCTCCCAGTATTTTGTGCAACCTGGTGTTTTCTAATATTCTCTCCTGGTTCCTGGATCCCTGCACTTAGCCTTCCAACTAGCAAAATGCTCAGCAAGGACATCAGTCCTAGCTCTGTTCAAGTGCAACACATCCATCTTTTAAGGCGCGGAAACTCTCATTGCCTGTCCCAGAAAATTGAACCCTTCTATCCTGCTTTCCAAACAGCTTTCCAGCCATGCATTCATCTGTCTAATCCTCTTTTTTTGTGCATATTTGCAAAATGTAATGAGAGTAATTCAGAGATTACTACTTTTAAGATCCTGCTGGCTAATTTTCGACCTGAATCGTAGAATCCCTACAGTGTGAAAACAGGCCACTCAGCCCAATAAGTCCACATCAACTCTCCAAAGAGCATCCCACCCAGACTCACTCCCCTACCCTATCCATGTAACCCTGCCTAGCTCCCTAAATTTTGTCTGACAGCCACATTGCTTTTCCTATCCATATTGTTAATACCAACATGGATGCCAGTGTCTGGCTGGTCACCCTCCCCGAGAAGAATGTCCTGCAGCCTCTCTGCGACATAATTGACCTAGGCACCATGGAAGCAACACCAACCTTATTCATGTCTATGGCCATAGAAGCACTTTGGTTCCCATAATTAATCAACCCCCTGTAACTCCTGGTCTTCCACTTTTCTTTTTTCTTTTCCTTCCTGTACAGCTGGTCCAACCATGGTGTTACAGGCCTGTAGCTTGTCACAGTCCTCTGAGGAGCAGTTGCTCTCACCAGTAGCCAAAATGGAAATCTGATTCTCGAGTGGGACCTCAGGGCACTCCTGTACCAACTGCCTGTTTCTCTTGGATTGTCTGGCAGTAACCATTATTTACCTGCTTTAATGTGTGGCGGGACTATCTCTCTGAATGTGCTAGCCACGTAACTCTCAGCATTGCAGATACACTACATTGTGTTAATGCAAGGTGAGTTGCGGCTGGAGTCACTTGTGATGATACAGTGTGTTAATGTCCAGACCAAACCCCCTTCAAATATATCATGGACATAATCTAGACCCTAACTTTTTCTTCTTTTTTTTAAAGCCAAGTGTAAATCGCTGTGTTTCAGATGTAAATTGATTAGTTACACTATGTGGCTTTAAGCAAAATGTACTTTATTCTTACTCTGCAGTTAAAATACAGCAACAAGAAGAATTGGTCTGACTTTAACTTCGTTGGAAAACTTAACAGCATAATAGATTATTTAGTGACTAAACAACTGTTTCAATATAGTAACATCCTATAAACACATCCTTGGCAAAGGCAAATTCTGTAAAATTGATTTTGTCATATATGCAACGTTTCTCCAGTCCAGGAGGAAAGAACATCAAGAGAAAATTATTGCAGAAAGAGAGAGAAAACTCAAACATTTTGCTGTAAGAGGGAGAGATGTATGGCAGCTTCAAAACCCTAGCATTACTGAAAGCTGAACTATAACGGTGCTTCTATGGGAGCCTAACTTCACCCATTCATGCTGCTTCTATTGTTTCAACTTATTTAAAAAAAAAACCTCAAGGCCTGACAAGCTGTTTATTTTATTGGATGGAACAAACTACTCAGTACCTTTGACTCAACCTTCCATCATAAAAAATCCAGAGCAAAATACACCACCTTAAAGCCATTGTATCATTACAAGTGACTCCACCCCACTTTATCATCTCCTTCCTGCTGGCTACATCATCTATTTGGAGCATTCAGAAATTTGTGCTATTGTTTTTGATTGGTCAAAGTTGGTTTCAGATGACATTTCAAAGTCACTAGAAATGCAGACATGAAGACTGATATGGGCACATCACAGGGCAGCTTAATTGTGCTCAAAATAATTTTTTTTGATGTATACCTTTTGTTGTTAGGATTGATTGAAGGGTATGTCACTGAGAAAGCTGTGCTGGAAGAAACTTTGCAGCAGAAGGAAGAATCCGAGCAACAATTGGCTCTAAAGGTGGAACTTTTAAATAAGCAGCTTCATGAACTCAACCAGCAGCACCAGCATCTGCTTGAGGAACGCAATCTATTGCTACGCCAGAAGCAGGCCATGGCTGGCAATGAAGTAGAACGCGGTAAGAAACAACTTTATGCTATTACCTACACCACTCTCAAAATAAGTCTCTGGTACATGTTCTTCCAGGAGAAAGCAACATGATCTTTCAAACACACTATTTCAGTACTTTCTGTATCCTGAAGTTTGATTGAAAGCTACTTTCTCAGATCTTGAAATTAAACATTATTTCATTAGGGCATCAAGTTTTCATTCATTTATCCTGAGAAGTATCTTGAAAACTTTCCTGTTCCTCTGATGCTGCCTGGCCTGCTGTGTTCCTCCAACTCCACACCGTGTTGTTTCCAAAGTGAATCTGCCTTGTTGAAGTAAACACCACACAGAAAAGTGATTTTTGACTTGAGTTTCTTATTTCCGTGTCTCAAAAGCCAAGATCTTGGTTAGTTTTTCTAAAATAGGAAATATTTCAGAGTTATTTTAGTTACATCATTGCTATTGGGTTCTTTGGTGCCTAGCAAGTGACTCAGAAAAATAATGACTGGACTCGATGAATTAGGATTTAATGAATATTAATGACTTATGGTTAAAATACTATAGATTATCAAGACATAAACTACTGAATACTGATGTTGGGCCTTCACTATCTTTATGTACTTGCACTATACCCTGGCAAATATATCCACAGTTAGAAAAACTAGCATCACACAAAGTGAACCAGCAGTTTGCTATTCAGGTCAGTTGGTTAGATGTTGGTCCTGGAGAGTTTCTGTGAATCTTCAATTGTTCAGCCATGAGCCAGGAAGTGAATTTGTTGCTGGCCAAGGTAAAGGTAAGGTATCTGAGCAAAGGTGAGTCTGGCTGATCTTGAAGGCCTGCTCTACCATTTAATAAAATCATGGCTGATCTGTTTGGAACCTCAACTCTATTGATTGATTCATTGATTTTATTGTCATGTGTCCTGAAATATAGTGAAAAACTTTGTTTACAAATGGTACAGGCAGATCACAGATCTCTTTTTTCCAGAACCTTTCACCCCCATGTTTATCAAAAATCTAAAATAGGAAATATTTCTGAGTTAATATTGCTTTAAATACCCTGCTTCCATCACCTTTTGTTCTTATGTAAATTATCCTGCAGTAAAATAGATTACTGCTGACTGAGCCTACTCTTCAATTGCAGACTTCCAAATGTCAAAATAGTGATTTGGTCCACTGAATTCTTCTTCTATTTTTCAGTCATCTTGGGCAGATTTTATGCTGCCCTATACAAGATCTTATTCTTTTTGTCTAGATTAATGTAACCTTCATATCATCGTTCACCAGTGTTCTCAACTAAGAAAGGAAGCTGTCATTCTTACCTGATCTGGTCTCCATGTGACTCCAGACCCACAGCAATGTAGTTGACTCTTGCAGTTAAGGATGGGCAAAAAAAATCTGGTCCAGCCAGACAAATCCCCATCCTGCGAATGAATAATAGGCTCACTATTCTCTGGGTGAAGAAATTTCTCCTCATTTCAGTTTTAAATCACCTATCCTGTATTCTTAAACAGCTAAGAACCAGTGAAAATATTAATGATTTTGGTATGAGTACTTCACAAGTTCCTCACTATAAGTACCCACTGTCTTAGAATAATGCCAGACTTGATACAGTTTTTGGAACCTTTTATTTGGCTGATAGAATAAACTTGAATTTTGATTACAGAATTTGTTCTTTGTGGATATTAGGTTCTTAGAGCTATCCGTGCATAGTTTTTCTACCTTACGATCATTTTACATCAGTGTACATTAATATTCCATTCTGCCTCTGAGTTGTGTGATTCCCATGTGCAATGTTGTGTGTAAAGATTTAGTTGATGGTGACGCTATTGGACAAGAGAAAATTTAAGGAACCAGTGCAGTGAAACTACTGACACACATACTGGCTGTCATTATTCATTACCTTAAATTTATCTTTGGATATATATCCTAACTAGACCTTTAAACACTTGCCTTGTATGTAATGCAGACTTTGGATATCAGGTGGCTTGTAAGAACTGTTGTGAAAAGGTCAGTGTGCAGTGATGTTTTTGCTTGGATGATGGCCCAGCCATTTATACATCAGGGAAAATCTCTGTTTCAGAAATGAGAAGAGCTGCTGGTTTTAAGTATCAATTTTGTGTTCCTCTTGTATAGATAATTCTGTTCTAAATTTGTGAAGTCCTTTTTTTGTGTATTGATGTTTAACAAATATAGTGGCGGGTGTTAATAGACTGGTTTCACGTCACTGAGAGATTCCAATAAGTAGCTAAGTTTTCAGTAATGGATATCTTACACAAGATATCATTGCCATGGCTTCCAACTTGTCAGCATGCCCAGTAGTGAGCATCTGTGATGTATTTGGTTATGATGGGTGTGTTCTCTCGCCTCTGTTTCTCAGGCCTTCGTACTGAAGCAGTAATCGAAGGGGATTCAGGTTTGTCCCTTTTTTGGAAACAAAGCTGTCTGATTTGCATAACAAGAGTGATATTTGAATGTTCTCAACGTTTTGTTTGCAATCTGCTGATTTAATCTGGTCAGAATAATTAAAATTTGCTTGATGTTATTCCATTTTATTTTAACCTGTGCTTGTGAGGACATGCTATGCATGGTTATAAAACTTCAGGCATGCTCTCTGTCAAAATGATCTGAATTTTATTGCACTTTATTTCAAATTATCAATGTTTATCTTGTTCTTTTGCCACATCAGTAAATCCAGTTTGAATAAATGGAATGCAAAATTTCTTTTCAATGGATTTAGTCCCAAATATTTAAACAGTTCTATATAGTGGGAGAATTGTATAATTGAGACTTCTAAAAAAGTTTTTGGGGTTTATGTTGGTTCTAATGAAATGCCTTGGAGTAGTATGGACTCTTTCCAGTGATTGTTTTCTTCCCCCTGCTTCTAACTTCAGCCATGGTTTTTCATTTAGCCTGTGTCTAAGTTGCTACAGTTTTTGAGGTGCTGGAATTTTCTTTTGTTTTTTTTTGTTCAAATCAAAAAGCCTTCCAGGTTCAAGCATTACAGCAAGTGCCAATGTGTAGCATTGACCTGGAATTTGTCAAACAATGCAGCAGTCATCTCATGTTCCAGGATTGGTGTTATGTCTGATGTGCAGTGCAGCCAGATGCCATATTTCTATTTGTAAATTTGGCACTGAGGCAGTGTCACCAATGTTATGAGTCATCCTGAATTGTTGCCTGCATTCTGCATGGCTTGGACCACTCTGTCCCTTTCATTTCTAAAATGTTCTTTACTGTCTGAGAAATTAGACATCCTTACAATTGACTCTCTGTAGTTATAATCTAATGGTAGAGCCTTCCCAGTATAGGGCATGGGCAGTGGTACAACAAATAATGCCATGAAGTAGCTTGCAAATTTAGTTCCATAATTATAAGGCTGTTAAAGTAAGTTACTTCTGCAAGGAACCTTTCAGATTGCTGTAGTGGGTGAAATGCTAGCATCTGAAGAGCAGAGAGCATTTCTGTCTTCTTTCTAAAATGTAAAAACCAAACTCATTATTTTTACATATTTTGAAAGGGTTGTCAATGCATTGGGAGATTTTTTTCAGGAATAGTGTTGTATATTAAAATTTTGATTCATAGTCCATACAATTGTAGTGAAGTACAAGCATAAACTCAATAAACATAACTCTTAAAACATAATCACGTGACTGCTGCTATTCAGAAATTGATTTTTTCCTGTTAGTAATCTGGATTGATTTTGGCAGTGTTTGGAGGATACTTTTCTTTCAGAGTACAACCTGGGAAGTTTGAAGTTGTTCAGTCTAAAAGAGTTGGGATATTAGAAATGCTTTATGTTTCTAGGGAATTGGTTTGTAGTGCATCCCATCCTTACTGTGCTATGAAATAAATGACAAAGTATCGGAATTTGTAATATGCATTTTTGCTGAGATTCAAGGGCAGTGTGATTTTGAGCTATTTGCAATGCAAATACATTTAGAACATGTTTTAAGATATTGCTATCAGATTACCTTTTGTTTTTCCACTGATACTCTATTCGCTACGTTTAGGGTTATTGGAGGAGACAGAGCGTCTATCCAAAGAGAAGCTGGACATCCAGTGTCAGGCGGATAAGGATCGTGCTGACCTCCTTTTGAGGGCAAAGAGAATGGAAATGGAGCTTGAGGAGGAGACAAACCGCAACATTGAATTGAAGGATAAATGGCATTTGGAAGTTGCTGACATGCAACAGCAAATTCAGGCTCTTGAAAAGCAACTTAAGAATTATCGACAGTTTATGGATGTAAGGACAAAAGACTATACTGGGATAATGGGCCAGTGTGATTTTCATACATGTTCAAATTCTACCAACATTCACTAATTTTAACTGTTAAAAAACAAATTGGAAAATGGCATGCACTGATGATTTAACACGCGGCTAAAACTTATAGTTCTGTATGAAAGAGGGAACAAACATGTTCGTACCTACTATCCTATTGTAATGGTTACAATACAAAGACAGGCTATTCAGTAATATCCCTTCCCCTACCTTTTCCAAAAGCCACGCAAATTTCCCCCCTTACAATGCTTATGCAATTCCCTTTAGAATTTGCACTTGAGATCATAACCACTCGCAGGCAAACAAAGTTTATCCTTCCGTTGTCTTCAGTGCTTTTACTAAATAAATGAAATCTGTTTCCTCTAATTCTCAGAGTATACACCAATGCAACAGCTTCTCTAAATCTACCCCATACTTCTAACAAACATTGCTCAACCTTCTCTGTTCTCATGAAAATAACCTCAGCTTCTCCCATCTGTTCACGTAGCTAAAGACCCTCATCCCTGGATCCAATCAATAAATCTTTTTTGTCCTTTCTGAACTGCAATACCCAGAACTGGGGGTAGTACTCCACCAGAGGCCAGACAAGTATCTTTTAAATGTTTTTCATAACTTCCTGCATTAGTACTCTGTCTCTAACTATAAAGTACCACTTGAGCACTTTGTTATCTGCAATGTCGCTTTCAATGAGTTGTATACATACACCCCAAAATCACCTTGTCCCGGAACCTATTTTATCATTTCTCCTAATTCTTCACACCAACATGTATCCCTTCACAATTCTCATATTTAATTCAATCTGCCACATATCCACCAGCCTGTCTATATCCTCTAGATGTTTGTCACTATCTCCTCACATTTCAGAATACTTACTTTGTGTCTTGTGCGCCTTTTGAAGTTCTGACCTATGTGTCTAGATCATTAATACAAATTGAGAAAAGTAACGTTCCTAATAATGACCCTTTGAGTACACCATTATACTTTTCTGTATTCTGCAGAACAATCATTTATGACTGTTTTGTTCCCCTTCAATTAGCTAATTTTGTATTCATGCAACCATTGTCCAATTGATTTCATAGGCTTAACTTTGGCATGTTTATTATGTAGCATCTTTTCACCTTTTGGAAATGTATGTATATATCATATTAACAACATGAATTACAATGGTTGCACTGCTAGTAATCTTCCAAGAATCCTTCGATTCTGGAAAAGTCTGAAATGATTGGAAAACTGTCAATGTAAAAATTCAAAAAAGGAGACAAAATGCAGTTAACTATGGGCATCTGTCATTGGCAAAATGTTACAGTCTATTTTAAAGGATGTAGTAGCAGAGCATTTGAAAGTATGTTATATATCCAAGCAGAATCAGGATGGCTTCATCAATGGGAAATCATGCCTGACAAATGTATTAAAATACTTTTGAAGAGGTAACAAGCGGATGAAAAAGGAGAATCTAATATAGTTGAATTTATAAAAGCCATTCAATAAGGTATTGCACTTAAGGCTACATAATAATATAAGCATCCAAAGAGGTGGAGTAGTCTATTACCATGGATGAAGGATTAGCTAACAAGTAGAAGACAGAGTTGGGATAAAGAGGCATGTTCAGAAAGGAAAGGTACAACTAGTGGAATGCCACCAGAATCAGTGGCCATAATTGTTTACAATATATATTAATGAATTGGATGAGGGGAGTGAACGTACTATCACCAAGTTTGCAGGTGCCATAAAAACAAGTGGGAAGGATGACACCGAGTCTGCAGAAAGTTATAAGGTTAAATGAGTGGGCAAAAACTTAGCAGATAAAGTATCATAATGGAAAAGTGAAGTTATGTACTTTGGCAGGAAGAATGAAGGATCTCCATATTATTTCAATGAAAAAAGCTTGGCAGAAAGTTCCAGCGCAGAGGGATTTGCAAGTCCTCGTGCTTAAATCACAAAAAGCTAACAACCAAGTGCAGTGGGCATTAGGGAAGATAAGTAGAATGTTGGCCTTTATTTCAAAGGGAATGGAATGTAAAAGTAGTGAAGTATCAGTAAAATTATGCAAGGCACTAGTTAGGCCACATCTAGAAGGCAGACCTGTAGACAGTCAGAAAAGGTTCACCAGGTTGATCCTGGATGTGAGGTACTTGGTTATGAAGAGAGGTTGAGTTGATTGGGCCTTGACTTATCGGAGTTTAGAAGAATGACAAGCGACCTATTAAATATACAGGATTCTTAAGTGGGATCTTGGCAAAGTTGATGTGGAGAGATCGTTTCACCTTGTCAAAGAGTCTAGGACCAGAGGGCATAATTTCAGAGTCAGGGTCACCCAGTTAGGACAGAGAGGAGGAGGAATTTCTTTTGAGCATAGTGAATCTGGAATTCTTTACAATAGAGGGCTGTTAAATATATTCAAGGCCAAAATAGATCCACTTATAATCTAGAAAGAAATAAAGATGTATGGGGGATAAAAACAGGAAAGTGAAGTTAAGGATTATCAGATCAACCAGAATTTCATTGAATGGCGGAGAAGACTGAATTGGTCAAATGGCCTACTTTTGCTCCTATGCCTTAAAGATTCTCAATAGCTTCCTTTGTTTTTTTTTTAAACTTGTTACTTTTGTTCTGCTTGCATTTTATTTGACTCATGTTATCTTCTCTCGTGAAATCTATCTCCCTCCTTTCTTTGGTTTGACATTTGCAACATATCCACTTGATAATTTCTTTCTTCATTCTATGATGGATCGAGCTTTTTTTTGTTACATTTTCTTCAATATATACCTTCTTTGTAACGCGCTTAAGTAAATGGAGACCACACCTACACAAATTTGCTGTAACAAAAGTTCTAAACAAGTTTAACATAACTTTTCTGCTTCATGTTTCTGTTCTAGAAATTAACTCCAAGCATTGTTTGTACTTGTTATGGCCTTGTTAATCTCTCCTGCTTTTAATAATTTGAGAGCTTGTAGTTTGTTATTTTCCAAGGCCTTAAGTTCTTTTCCAGAAATGCACCATTTCACACTTTTTTGACTTCAAGTCCCTTTGTTATGAACCTCTGTATTCAGAGATTTTATTAATATTGCCTTGTATCAACTTTCCTTTGTATTCATTGTGTCTCCCAATTTGGTGTCATTTGTAATTTTTAAAAATGTGCTTCCCATTCCTACATTCTAAATGGTTATGTAAGTGGATCTGAAAAAGTAATGTAAAAGTAATCTATGTAACACTGCCTGTGGTGCATTACTTCCCACCATTCTCTCAGTCTGAGTAAATAGAGTGAAATTAACTGCAATCTTTCCTCACAGGTAAAATTCTGGATCTTGCTGTGATACAATCATATCAGTTCTATAATACAGTGATCAAAACTGTACACGGTACATTAGCTATGGCCTAACGTGTGTTTAATATTGTTCTAGCACAACTTCCCTGTTCCTGTATTTTATACAGTAAAAAGGAAATACTCTGTACATTAACCTTAACCACCTTATCTGCATGTCCTGCTCCCTTTAGGAATCTGTGGGCACGTGGTCCGAGCTCCTTTCTTTCCTCTACAATTCTTGGTATCTTATGAATTGTTGTTTGTTTGCCGTTCCCAAATGCAGTACTTTCACTGATCAAATTGGATTTGGCACTTTTCTTCCAACATGCCCATACTTTCATGCAGTCCTCAGCTTTCTTCCACATTATAAAAAATATGGCTAATTGTACCTCCTGCAGATTTCCTAATTACACCTCCTACCCAAATCATATTAATGTTTCTCTTCATACCAGATGTTAGGCCCACCACGTAGGGGAATTTGGGTTCAAAAACCAACTGAATATACAGAAAAACCTACAGACATTGTTTTACAGAAAGCTACTTGTTTTTGTTTTCAGCAAACTAGTCTAGATCAATCATTCAAGCCCAAAAACTTTAATTACCAATATTTCTACCAAAAAGAAGTCAACAAAAGCAGAAGCAAGTCACCTATTGACATACCTTCACCTTTTTCGTCAACCATTACAACGTCTTTCCATCCTGACTTTCATTGTACACTATTGAAAGGAGGGCATGAGAACCAAGCCAAGGCAGTGTGACATCAGATGCACACAGTCACTAAAGCAATTCTTTCACAGCTTCACTTAATTCAAACTTGAGCTTAACATGGGATTTGCTTTTGAAGATATAGTATTCTGACATACAGGGAACCTGCTTTTCCCCTTAGTGTATCTTCTCCTTAAAGGAAAAAATTAGGAGGTATAATAAAAAGGCTGTAAAGTTAAAAATGGAAAATTATGATGTGAAAGCTGAATAATGTATATGTATAGGAGCAGAATACCAGAGTTATTTGTATTCTTTTCACTCAGGAACAAGCAGCTGAGCGTGAGCATGAGAGAGATGAGTTCCAGCAAGAAATCTCAAATCTGGAGACACAGTTAAAACAGGGACTAAAATCACAAGGAAGTGGTGATTATATAGTATCCAAGGTATATCTTTATCTTAATTTTGCTTTTGTTTTCAGTCAAATATGCATTTTACATTTATGTAGAGAATCATAGAGCTATATGAGTTCAGTTCAATTCATCCATGCTGACAAGGTTTTCAGAACTAAATTAGTCCCATTCACCTGTGTTTGGTCCATATCCCTCTGTACCTGCCCAAAAGTGTTTTAAATTCTAAGATTTTTTTTCTTTCTCAAACTATGAATATTTTAGAATACTTATCTGAGGTGGCAGATATGAAAATATGTGGTCTATATTCTGATCAATTAGTAATAACCTGGCAGCATGCTATCTGGCCCCTAATTGTTTCCTTTTAACATCTGCCTCTTGCCTCACCTGGAAAAAGAAGTGTTTCCTCACACATAAAATTCACTTTTAATTTATTCAGATTGCACCTGTTCCTAATAGTATTAATACTAATGTGTTGGTTACCAACTCCTGTTGCTTCTAATGTCTATTTAGGAAGGCAGGAAAAAGTGTGAATTATGAATTTATCCCAGTCTACAGGGCTATCACTGACTTTTGCCTCCTTATTGCTTTTTCTTTCAACTTTATAATCCCCTAATTCCCTTGGTTAGCCAGGATTGGTTTATCCCTCTCTTTGAATCTTTCCTCCTTACTGGGATATATTTTTGCTGAGTCATGATTTACCTTTATAAATATATGCCACTTCTTGCTTGCTTACTTTCCTGCTAATCTATCTGTTGAGTTCACTATAGCTAACTCTATTTTCATTTCATTGTAATTCCCGATATTTAACTTGAACAGCATGTTTGATGCAATGATACTGACCCTACCCCAGCCTTGAGGCCTGGTTCAAGTTCTGCCGGCTTCAGAGGTTTGTCACAATATCTCTGAACAGCTTGATTAAAAAAATAGCTACCCTGAGGAATTCCACAGAGGGCTTTTGTGACATGATGGTAGTGTCCCTATCTCTGAGCCAGGAGGCAAATCCCACTTGCTCCAGCAGTGTGTAATAACATCTCTGAATAGGTTGATATAAAAAAATCTAGAAATAATCAGATTCCCAAATTCCCTGAAGAAACTCAGCATGAGTGAGAATATTATTGGAATCCTGAGGCGTATGTCGGATTACAGTCTGTAATTTAAGACTTCCTTCAGAGATCTGCTGATAGTTTGGAATTACAAGATTCAACGTCAAATCCGTCCCAGACTGAATGGGGCCTAATATTCTGTAACCACTTTTGCTATGATTTGAAACCATTTCCTAATTGGAGGTGGCAGTCAAAGTAGGAAGGGGTAAGGATGCAACTGGAGGGTGTAGGGTGGCAGGCTGAAGGCCTAGGATGATTGGAATCCATCATAATTTGAAGCAAAGACTGTGTTCATCACTGTGCAAAATATAAAGACATCTTAAAATGATCCTAATGCTCATGAAGACAATTATATCAGACAATATCAAAACCTCTGGAACAGATCAAAGAGAGCACTTGTACCTCACTTAACTGAGGCAAGAATTATCCCAATTGGCCCTTTATTTCACAGGGGTTGGAGTCTAAATGTAGGGAAGTCGTACTGCAACTGTGCAAAGTGAGACCACATCTGGAATACCTTCAGCAGTTTTGGTCCTCTTATTTCAGACAAGATATAATTTCGTTGGAGGCAGTTCAGAGAAGGTTCACTAGAACATCCACTCTATGGAGAAATTGTCTTATGAACAAAGGCTAAACAGATTGAGACTCAACTCACTCCTCCAGTGTCACACTAATTCCATCCTGGGCCGCCTCCATTGTCACAATGATTTCCACCTACAATCCGACCCCACAACCAAAGATATATTTCCCTCCCCACGCCTATCTGCCTTTCATAGGGACCACTTTCTCTGCGACTCCCTCGTCCGCTCCACACTCCCCACTAACCCCGCCACACCTGGCACCTTTCCCTGCAACACCTGTCCCTGCAACACCTGTCCCTACACCTCCCCTCTCCCCTCTCCCCTCCATTCAAGACACAAAACAAATCTTCCACATTAGACAGGCATCGCCTGCACAGCTGTCAACGTGGTCTACTGCATCCGCTGCTCCCGATGTGGCCTCCTCTACATCGGTGAGACCAAGCGGAGGCTCGGAGGGCGTTTTGCAGAGCATCTGTGCTCTGTTCGTGACAAATGACAACACCTTCCGGCCATGAACCATTTTATCTCCCCCCACTCACTCTCCGGGTGACATGTCCATCCTGGGCCGCCTCCAGTGTCACAGTAACGCCACCCGCAAACTGGAGGAGCAGCACCTCCTATTCCACCTCGGGAGCCTACAGCCCAATGGCCTAAACGTGGATTTTACCAGTTTCAAAATCTCCCCACCCCTGGTCTCATCCCATGACCAACCTTTCCTCTCATCCCCGCCTCCTTGACCTGACACAACCTGTCCATCTTCTCTGTCACCAATCCACCTCTCCCACCTCACTGCCCAATCCCGAGGACTCCCCTATCACCATCCCACCTCCCTTCCCCAGCCCCTCCCTTTCTCTCTCTACTTATTTCTGAGCTCTATTCCTCCTCCTCATTTCTGAAGAAGGATCCCAACCTGAAATGTCAACTTTCCTGCTCCTCTGATGCTGCCTGGCCTGCTGTGCTCCTCGAGCTCCACACTGTTATCTCTGACTCCAGCATCTGCAGTTCTTACTATCTCTGGGACTCGGCTCACTGTAGTTGAGAAGAATGAGAGGTGGTCTTATGGAAACATGTGGGATTCTTGAGGAGCTTGACAGGCTAAATGCTGAAAGGATGTTTCCACTAATGGAGGAGCCTAGGACCAGAGGACATAGTTTCAGAGTAAAAGGATGCCAATTTATGCTGAGTTGAGGAGGAATTTCTTCTGTCAGAAGGTTGAGTGTATCTGGAACCTCTTGCCACAGAAAACTGTGGGTGCAGAATCATAGAACATAGAGCAGTACAGGCCCTTCAGCCCATGATGTTGTGCCGACCTATTATCCTACTGAGATCAATCTACCCTGCATACCCTACATTTTACTATCCTCCATGTACCTATCCAAGAGTCACTTAAATGTCCCTAATTTATCTGACTCCACTACCACTGCCGGCAGCGCATTCCACATGCCCACCACTCTCTGTGTGAAGAACCTACCTCTGACGTCTCCCCTGTACCTTCCTCCAATCACCTTAAAATTATGCCCTCTCGTAATGGTCATTTCCGCCCTGGGAAAATGTCTCTGACTATCTACTCTATCTATGCCTCTCATCATCTTGTAAACCTCTATCAAGTCACTTCTCATCCTTCTTCACTCCAATGAAATCCTTGAGTATATTTAAGGCTGAGATGTTTTCTTGATCAGTGGGAAGTCAAGGGCTACGGAGAAAATGCAGGAAAGTGAATGTGAGGTGTGTCAGACCTGCCATGATCCTATAAATGTTTGAGCAGGCTCGTCGAGCCAAAAAGCCTGGTCTTCTTCCCTATTTCTTATGGTCATTCCAAGAACCCATAATTGATTACTTCTATCAGTTAGTGGCCAGTTGAAATTGCCTTAGTGTTTTTATACTTTTAATTGAATAGTTTCCATTGGGAATTATGTGGTTGGTTTTTAAATCTGACCAAAAGTATCTTCCCTCATTGCAAAGCATGGCTTGTTATTGAAATTTACAATCTCATGTAAAATGTTATTCTGGAAGATTGCAGAAGCCATCAGAAGTTGGGGAAGAGTGGTGTAGGGAATATCTTAATGAATTGCCAAATAAACTCTATTGAAACCTTGCAGTTATGCAGACTACCCCATTCTCCTGCCTTCTCCCTGTAAACTTTGATCCTCATACTAATGGAAAACCTACCTATCTCTGTCTTAAATACACTCAATGATTTGGCCCCATTAGTGTTCTGTGGCAATGTGTTCCACTGATTTAGCTTTCCTCTACATCTCGGTTCTAAAGGGTTATCCCTTCACTCTGAAGCTGTGCCTTCAGTTCCTTGTCTCTCCTACTAGTGGATATACCCTGGAGTTATAAAGTCCTACAGCGCGGAAACAGACCCTTCAGTCCAACCAGTCCATGCTGACCATAATCGCAAACTAAACTAATCCCACTTGCCTGCGATTGGCCCACATCCCTCCGAACATTCTTATTCATGTACTTATCCAAAAGTCTTAATATTGTAACTACACCCGCATCCACCATTTCCTCTGGAAGTCCATTCTACATAGGAATCGGTCTCTTTGTAAAAATGTTGCATCCACGTCTTTTCAAAACTTCTCCTCACCGCTATTTGGATTACCTGGCATCAACATAGGCACCGGAAAAGACAACAGCAGAAACAGCCCTGTTGAAGTCGTCCTCACTAACATCTGGGGATTAGTGCCAAAATTGGGAGAGCTGTCTCACAAACTAGTTAAGCAACAGCCTGATATAGTCATACTCACAGAATCATACCTTACAGACAGTGTTTCAGACACCACCATCACCATCCCTGGCTATATCCTGTCCCACTGGCAGGACAGATCCAGCAGAGGTGGCTGCATAGTGGTATACAGTCGGGAGGGTGTTGCTGTAGGTGTCCTCAACATCGCCTGCGGACCCCATGAAGTCTCATGGCTTCAGTTTAAACATGAGCAAGGAAACCTCCTGCTGCTGATTACCACATACTGTCCTCTCTGATCTGATGAATCAGTACTCTTCCATGTTGAACAACACTTCGAGGAAGCATTGAGGATGGCAAGGGCACAAAATGTACTCTGAGTGGGGGATTTCAGTGTTCACCACCGAGGGTGGCTCAGCAGCAGTACTACTGATTGAGCTGGTTGGGTTCTAAAGGACATAGCTGCTAGACTGGGTCTGCGGCAGATGGTGAGAGAACCAACAAGAGGGAAAAGCATACTTGACCTCAGCCTTAACAATCTGCCAGCTGCAGTTGCATCTATCCGTGACAGTATCGGTAAGAGTGACCTTCGCACAGTCCGTGTGGAGACAAAGTCTCACCTTCACATTGAAAATAACTTCCATCGTGTTGTGTGGCACT